GACCCGCCAAGCGAAGGGGACCTGGGCACTGGTGCAAGCTATGTGAGTCCCCACCGGGCTCTAATCTTCTGTCAGATGAAGGAAATGCTCGACATCGTGCAAAGCGAAGTCCTCAAGAAGCTTCTACCATCGGTTCAGTATCTCCGTCTAGACGGCAGTGTGGAAGCCACCAAGCGTCAGGACATCGTCAACCGATTCAATACAGATCCTAGTTACGATGCCTTGCTTCTGACGACTAGCGTTGGTGGACTTGGTCTGAACTTGACAGGTGCCGACACAGTCATCTTCGTTGAGCATGACTGGAACCCGCAGAAGGATATCCAGGCCATGGACCGTGCACATCGTATCGGTCAGAAGAAGGTCGTCAATGTCTACCGTTTGATCACCAGAGGTACTTTGGAGGAGAAGATTCTGAAGTAAGTTCCTCCCGATTTAAAATGTTCCAATAAACAACAACGCATACTAACTTGTCTACCCCAGCCTCCAACGCTTCAAGATCGACGTGGCATCGACGGTGGTCAACCAACAAAACGCAGGCCTAAACACAATGGACACAGACCAGCTCCTAGACCTATTCAATCTCGGAGAAACGGCCGAGAATGCCGAGAAACCCAGCGACAACGCCGCCGGCAACGAAGTCGACATGGTCGACATCGACGGCGAAGTCAAAGAAAAGGGCAAGAAGGGCTGGCTCGACGACCTCGGCGAGCTCTGGGACGACCGTCAATACCAAGAAGAATACAACCTGGACTCATTCCTGCAGACGATGAAAGGTTGATTGATAAATCATGCCAAAACCTCGGTTTCCTAAACAAACCCTCTTGTGTTACAACGGACTGGAGTTCTCAGGGTCGTTCTTATGGAACTTCGCAGGAAAAAAAAACAAAAATCTCAACTGCAAAAGACATCAGCCATGCTTCTCCTTTCCTGTCTTATTCCCGTTTCATCCCTCTTCTTTTCGCCTTCTGATCCTATCTTATTACTAGACGATTGACTGAACCCAGGTGGGCGTTCGTTAGTGTTGTACATCCATCGCTCAGATTCTCTCCTCCTCCCCTCCCCTGTTTTCATACGAACTGTATCCCAGGAGTTTGGTGGCGATTTGTTTTTTTTTTTTTTCTTTTCGAATCTCTTACTTATCTTAATGATTCATTGAATCATTGATTGAACGAATGACTCGGTGCTTACGAAGACGAAATCAAGGATAGACATGGAGGGGAATTATGTATGTTATTTTATTCCCTTCCGTGGTGTTTATTTTATTTTACTTCATTATCCTTTTTCCTTTTCTTTTTCCTTTCTTTTCCTGCTGTACTTTTACCACTGCACTCGTGTACATATTGATAAGCGGTTGTTCATAAGATTCGATCCTATCATCTTGATACATAATTTGGTCTGCCAAGGACAGATATGTTTTGTCTACTTAGACGGTATGATGATGTATGTGTCTATTGTACTTACTGGGTAGATGTATGGTATGAAGAATTGATTTAATTGGAACGATCTTATACACGGACATTGTAGATGGAAACAAGATCGGAAACAAAAGCACTGAAACCAGTTGTAGGACGTTCATTATTTCAACAATATCAACCGATCAACCAACAAGCACCATAAAGGTATGGAGATCTACTGTCCACAAGAGATAGTAGGCAAAACAAAAAGATCACAAACGCCGTCCAGAACCTGCATACCGGATGCCTCCGAACGCCTGCGTGTGACAAGAATCAAATACCCATTGATAGGTAGATAGGCGAAAAGAGACCAGGCCCAAAAGGAGAGATACGTCAGATCCGACGAAACAAGTAAATACAGTGACTGATAGGTGATTTGGTATAATCTACGTGGGAAAAAAAAGGAACTGAGGATCTGGGGAATCTGAAAGAAGGTTCTCAAAGTCGAAATGGCATCTATGTGCGACTCAAACTCTCGTAAAATGCAATAACTGGTCGTGGCAGTTCCAAGTGGTTCGTTATGGTGGACAAGGAACGATTAAGAGCGATTCTTTGGCTGAGCAAGCGCATTCAGCCGGCTCATGGTCAGCGCATTCCGGCTCCTCTGTCGTGCGCTGGCCGGGGTTCCCGTTCGACTAGCACTTGTGGTCGACCGGAGAGGAGTGTGTGAACGCGCCTTGGAGGGGCTAGGGTTTGGCATCTTCGATGGGGAGAGCTTGAACGGCGAGAGCTTCGATGGGGAACTCAGCTTGACTCTCTTCGCACTGCGGTTTTCTGTGGCGATGTCGGCTGGCGGCACATTCTCGGTGTCAACATCTCTCCCAGCTGCATCTCGATGTCTCTTCTTGTTGCCGATGCCATGAGGCACACCTGGAACATCGGGAAGGGACGGATCATGAGTGGCCTCCGTTTCGCGGTGTCGCTTCTTGCTGCCGATTCCATGTGGAACACCGGGGATATCCGGTATAGAGAGACTGGTAGGGGCATCTGATTGACGGACGTGACGGATGGTGGGCGACTTGATCTCGGTACCGGACTTCTTTGCAGAATGATCCGGTGTCAAAGCTGGCAAAGTGGGATATACAACATCCGATACAACCCGGGAAGGAGAGCCGGTGGTTAATTTGGAGGGCGAAGGGGATGGCAGAGCTTCATCATCCTGCAATCTAGTACTGGAGGAGAACTCGACACGTTTCTTGGGTGACGGGGTCACTGCAGGCTCCTCCGAAGCATCGCGGGTTCTGCCCAACAGGAAATTGGAACTAAATTCGGGGGCTGCCGCATGTGTTCCTGCTGCGATCTTCGCGGGATCTTTCGAAAACAAAGGCTGATGGGGACGAAGGATCGACTTTAGGTTCAACTGGGGCAAGCCGCTCTTGAATCGAGGGTTGAAGTCCGTGCGGGGTGTGCGCGGGGTTGTCGACTGCTTCGAAGTAGGGGAATGTGCAAGAGATGGTCGAGGGAGCATGCTGGTGCGAGAGGGTTTGAGGCTGGTGGCCGAAGTACGCGCCATGGAGGCTCGAGTAGGAGTCATCAAAGAACTGCGGATCGCAGGCCTCGTGCGACTCGCAGCTGGCCTTGAAGCGCTCTTCTCACCAACCGTCTGACGGCGAGTGGAGGTGTCATCGCCCTTGTCATGTTTAACGCGCTTGGCACTAACTGGAGCAGGGGCAGGCGATTTAGTCGTCGATTTAGTCGTCGATTTGGTGGGCGAGTTTTGGTTGGACTCATCCAGCCGTGGCCGCTTGAGAGACTTTTGGACAAGCTGTAAGCGACCGGGAGTGGCGCGGAAGGCCGACGCGTGTCCAGCAATTGAATCCATCTTCTTGAATTCAGCCATATGAGCAGCGCTGAATCGGTTGGCCTGGCCCTTTGGTTCGGCGATCCTGCGAGTTTCTGCCTGGTCGTTGCCACCCTGGTCGGGCTGGCTCTCCTTCTCCTGAACCATCTGAGCTTTGATTCTAGCAACATCCTCGCGCACGCTCTCCATGAGCTTCTTGGCTTCATCGCTTAGCTGGGAGTCCGCGGAAGAAAACTTGAACTCGAAGGCGGGCGTGCCGTAGTATGCCGAAGCGGGCGAGGCCTTTGTCTTGCTGGGGGTAGTCTCGACTAGAGAATCTTTCATCACATTCCCTTCGGCATCTTTCTTAATCGGGTTAAAACCGAGGATTAGGCCCGAGTCCGCCTGCTTGGTGGTGCTTTGATGGACCTTGCTGGGATGCATCTCTTGGTGAGAAGGACGAGTGACTGCACTGGTGGGTGTTTTCGCCGGGGTTTGCTTTTGAGCAGGAGTGGCCTTGTGTGGGGTGCGGACATCAGTTGTGGACTTTGGAGTAGCGGCGGCGGTGGTGGTGTGGTTAGAGGGAACGTCGGCGGGAGTTTCGTCGCGTTCCATGACGGAGGGGAGTTTGTTGTTCTTGTGGTTGGTTTCGGTAGTAGTGGTGTTGTTGACAGGTGACGCGGGCGGCTGCGGTTCCTTCAATCAGGAACCAAAGTCAGTTGTCTGGCACTTGACAAGACTGATGCAAGGGCAAACATGGGCAAGTGAATGAATGGGAATCAACCGGTCGATGGTTGTGTGGACGACTTACATTCGAAGCCTGGCGATTACGCAGGCGGGCGGACCGTCGAACCGCCATGATGATGGGACGCGAGCGGTGTGAATTGAATTCAGGAAAGGATGGAAGACGCTGGCCGTGGAATGATGGAATTGTGGCAACGGGGACGAAGGGATGAAAAAGAAAGAGAGCGAAGGGCGAGCGTCGCCCGATTAGGCGAGAATGTAAACAAATATTGCCGGGCGGTGAACTGACGTCAGTGGAGTGACTTCATGCAACGTGACTGGAGACCATCTGATGTCAGATGCCCTGAAACCATCATGTCCAATATGCTTCTGATTCTTTGAAAGTGGCTACTATCCTGCCTGTGCTAAGAGGACATGCCCCTTAGCTGCCGAGTCAGCACGCTATATTTATCACGTATCGTCAGCGACTCGACCATAGTACCCACGCTAGCGTCGAACTACTAGGAAGCATCTCCAAGACTCCAACATACCAACATTAGTATGACAGGCCCCAGTCGCCTGCGGAACACATTACTTGCAGATAAAGTAGGTAATAGATGTCCTCAGAGCTGCAGGGGGCTAAGTCAGACATTCCTGGTTGAGCAGGACGATCAATCATCGTTTTCCGTTTCCTTCCCCGTTCTTTACGCCCCCACACTGTAGTTCGGCATTCCCAAGTCATCGTTGATCCTCGTATACTATAGTAGGAGATACACGTTGCTCCGGTAACATTATGGCTCTAGTATGTAAGATAGTTCGAATAAACCTTTCGAGAGACCTGAACGAGAGCTTATCGTCTGGTCATGGAGCAAAGAGAAGACCATTACAAACTCTTCATTAGTTATCTAATTCTTCGTTACCATCCTCCTGATTCAACCCGAAAACAAAAAGTAGAAAAAACAGCCATAATGTCAAGCCCCATGCACATAGTACCCCCCCCCCCCCCCCATCTCACCTTCCCCTAGGCAAACTTCCTACCTCATTTACAAGGTCACAACGATCTTCTTCGCTGAGATGCCCTGCCGAGATAAAGAGACACCCTCAGGGACCTTCCCCAAGCCCTCTCCAACCACTAAGGGCTCAGGAACCGGTTTCAATGTCCCATTCCTCAATGCCTCAGGGACAAACTTACCCCAGATACCCTCCGAGATCTCCTTAAAATCAGAGATATTCGCGACATCAACAACTGCTCACGTATATCAGTACAACTGGCTTCCATCACGGTGATATCGGACGTATATGAAACTTACCACCAACAACCTCCACTGTATCAGGTATATCCTGAACCGGCATAGGCAAGTTCGTAACCACACGTCCACCACCAAGTCCCTTCACCACATCTGCACAGCTCCTTACTGTCCCCTCCTCCGCAATAGCATCCAGGGCACCCACAAATTCCCCTGGGGTGTCCTGAATAGCCTTGACTAGGTCTTGGATGATGCTATCCTGGTGGTAATCCAGCACCTTAGCGGCACCGAGACTCTGCACGAAGGAATGGTTCTTTGCAGACGCGGTGGCGATAACAGTTGCCCCCGATGCTACTGCCAGTTGGATTGTTGCGCTTCCGGTGCTCGATGAGCCGCCCCAGACGAGGATAACCTTGTTGATGGGTTTTGGCTGAAGGGTATGGGGTAAGGGGAGCTCAAGCCGGCCAGCTGGGTAGAGGCCCATTGCTGCCGTTGATAGGGCTATAGGGAGGACGCTTCCACTCTCGAAGGATACAGTGTCCGGGAGGGGGCCAGGAGGGTTGTTTTACAGATCGTATAATTTTGGAACCCAGAGTTCCTGATTTCATTGGTAAGGAACCAGTTGGCTACCCTACAAAAAGGTCAGTTTCACCCTTTGGTGGTTTGTGAAGTGAGGTGGGTTTTTTCCTACCCCATTACTCGGTCTCCCTTTTTGAAGGTGGTTACATCTTGGCCCACTTCGTAGATTTCTCCGGCTATGTCGCCGCCGAGGATCTATTTGATCATCTTATTAGCCGCTCTTTTTCAAGGGAGACGAGGTATACGCACGAAAGGGTATTGCTTGGGAAAAGGAAGGTCCGGTCCATAGACCTGGATCTTCCATTCCACTGAGAATATTCAGTTAACAACCTCCTCTGAACGCATGAAGGAAGCAACACGTGTGAACTCACTGGGATTGACCGCGACAGCTTTGTTCTTGATGAGAACTTCATCAGGACCGGGGGTATGCAATGGGGCCTCTTTGACAACGAAGTCTCCGCCCGCTTCTAGAAGCCAGACCGCAGAGTTGGATGCCGACATGGTTGGGAAGGAGTTTATACTGGGAGGTTTTGAAAGGATATCAGCTTGGGTAGATCGTGTCGATTGGGATGGTGTATCGAAAGAGTGTACCCTCTTGTTGAGGGCTGGTCTCTATTTATACCCATCCTTTGCATTTGAGATGTGCCATCGTCCTGTCGGTGTTAACGGAACGGCCAAAGTGACCCTTGAGACCGAACCCCTATGCAAGTTAATGGACAGTGATCAAACGTTGGGTATGATGAATATGTGGGGGTCAGTCCTACTAGGAATGGATGGATCGGCGATTAGGGCCATGGAACAAAACGGGCCAGGGTTAGACTCTTTCTCCGTGGTTTATGAAATCGGCTCCCGTCTTAACTCCAATCTCCGGAGGGCACAAACATCGAGCTGCGTTCAAGGATTAGAAATCAAGAAATTGCCTGTTTCTGTTCTTTTCTCCACGGATCTCGTTGAAGCCGGCTGCCGATATTTTACATAAAACGGTCCTCGGATGAATCACAATGGCTGTTCAGTTCGTCTACTATAAACTTTTGTGCACAGATGACTTATTATACTGGTTCTACTTCAGTTATCGTTCATTATAATCCAAATGGATAAGTCTCCTCCTTTCCTAGTGGCGTCGCCGGCTCATGTTTTTCCAGTGGCTTCACAGCATGGGTCTCATCGAACCATACATACCCATCAAACTGATTGAGCAGGTCTGCCGCCGAATAGTGGGACATCTTCTCTGTATCTGGCCGGTAAATCACACCGATAAATCGTTCAAGCCGGAGAGACTCAGCTTCAAATGCAGCCGCCAGGTTTGGATCGATGCGGTCCCGTCGCAGATCGATTAAGAAGCTCGGGATTCCCGTATTGTGAGCCACACGTTCCCAGCTATCCTTCCGCGAGGGACGAACCTCCATGACCTCCACGTCCTCGTCCCATTCGTGCGCTGCTGCCACCGTACCAGTATGCGTGCCACAGCCAATCAATGCAACATTCTCACGGCCGAACTGCTCACGGCAGAGCTGACCGATATTCACCTCTTTGCGCCGGGTCCCCATACTGGTGTATCGTGCGTCTCCACAGTGAGAATTGTGTGCCCACACCACGGCTTTTGTGCCCTCGGGCTTATGATGCAGTGTTCGACGGAGAGTATTTACCATGTGTGTATCGCGCAGTGTCCACGACGCCGCGGAGCTGTAATACATAGCTTTATAGTAGCGCTCGGCATCGCGCACCAGATACGCATTTTGCTCACCGCTATGGTACTCCTCGCCGTCATGGCGGGCTTCGGAATACTCTAGTCGCCGTTGTAGCAAGTCACGGAGCGTGTCTAGCACCCCCTTCTCACAATTCTCCATCCCGCGCATTGCAGCCAGCCCGTACATTGCGGGATCGTCTACCCATGGCTGCAGGCAGCTGTATCGCTGACGGGCAACTTTACCGGCAGCTGGATCAACACGGTCGAGGTAGTCAATCACCGCCTGGATCGAGGTCCCCAAACTGTATATGTCAAGGCCGTAGAACCCGACTTTTTTGTGGTACGGGACTTGTGTGTTGTAATTGCGCATCCATTCGACCAGCTCCTGCATCTCGCGGTTGCGCCACATCCACGTGGGAAACCGAGTAAAGGGATCAATGGGCTTCGAGTGGCCGCCAATGTTTGTCTTGGGGCCTGGACGCTGACGCACGTAGCGGTCGATTACTTCAGCGTCGGGCCAATCGGCCTCTACGGCTACCATGGTGAAGCCATGGTGCTCGATTAAACGCTTGGTGATCTCCGCCCGCGCGGTGTAGAATTCTGAGGTGCCATGGCTGCCATCTCCCAGAAGGACAAGACGATAATCCGCGAAGCTGTCGAAGTTCGAGCTGAAGCTGGGGTCTTGAATGTCCGGCAGGGGATGGGCTGCCGCTGCGAATAGCTCCTGGAGTTGTGGCATAGTACGAACCTGTCGGAACGGTCGCATAAAATGCCAAAATCTGCGATTCATGGATCAAATGTCGTAAACATAATGGCTTAATATTCTCAGCAACTGTAGCGAAGCAAATTTGTTATAGTGTTCGTTCTATTGTTGGGCGAGCGGCAAATAAAATCACATGCCCGGCAACGGTGGTCATCATGACTTCACATCTTCTCCATATAACGCCTTCGCAGCAATCAAGCCAAAGAACAAGCATCAAAGCCTTTCCAGGTGGATGTAGGTCATGCCATTTCCCAATTACACACTCAGAAGATCTATTTATCCAGTAATTTTAAGCAGAACCTACAATAGTCCTCTATATCCCTGCAATCGTAGGATCATGTCAGATGCATTTCCCGACGCCACCTCTCGCCTAGAGCGCTTCCAGGAGGCCCAGGAATCATTATATGGCGACCTCCGCTCTATCGCCAATCCCCAGGATTGGACTCCACCCCCGCAGTCTGGTGGTCATCGCGGCCGATACCTCTGGACTGACGCTTTCGGGGTGATCAACTTCATCACGCTACATCGTGAGTACGAGAAGGGGCTGGCGCCCTCTGCCTCTGCACCTGATGACCGATACTTGACGCTGGCACGTCGACTAGTCGAAACAGTCCACGAGGTTCTGGGGCGTACGCGGGATGGTCAAAGTCGCCTGCCCGGTGCAACAGACGACAATCCGATGGGTGGTGGACTGCGCATTGGTAAGATAGAAGAGCACGGCTCAGACGGTGATGGCCAATACCATCACTATTTAACCTTATGGATGTTCGCCCTCAACCGGCTATCGCTGGCAACCGGTGATCCAACGTACAATCGGCAGGCGATAGCGTTGGCCAGAGCCATCCATCCTCGGTTCTTCATCGGGCGCCATTTGCCCCGGCCGCGGATGGTGTGGAAGATGTCAATAGATCTGACCACAGCACTGGTGGCCTCAGAGGGCAATCTGGACCCGGTCGATGGATTTGTGACGTTTCGGTTGCTGCAGGCGGCAGCCATGCAGATGGGCGACGGCGAGGTGCTAGCCAATGAGATTGCAGATTACAAGAAGGTGATGGAGAGAAAAGGGAAGCACTTTGTGACGAGTGATCCGTTGGATCTGGGGATGAGCTTGTGGACAGCACATTGGTTCGCAGAGAAGGAGGACTGGGCAACAAGCTTGTCCGGTCAATGCTTTGAACAAATTTGTATGTCCTTGATTCTCGTGTTGTCCCTCTCGTCGTGTTTGGTAATAACATCAGACAGATGAGCTCTTTGAGATTGACCGCTACCTCGACCGCAGCCACAAATATCGCCTGGCTTTTCGGGAATTCGGGACTTGTATGGGCATCAAATGCATGTCAGAGCAATTGTCTGAGAAGGAAAGCGCCGTTGATCTCAAAGTGTATGCCAACAATATCCTGGACTCATGGAATATATACATGCAAAGATCACTCGCAACAAAAGTGACACCAGATGATCTCCGCCCAATAACGCGGGTGATGTATGCCTCGGCACTGCTACCAGGAGGTTAGTATATCAATCTCCAATGCTGCAGTACGTTGATAAGATTGGACTGACCGAAATGTGCAGCTTTTGCTCGCGGGTACTTAGGACCTGAGCCTTTGGTCAGGCCAGAGAACTAACCAAACAAAGATACTGAGCAGTCAAGATGTACTTGGAAAAAAATTCATGTGTATATTCTGCGTCCAGTACTCTACAATATGCATCATTGTGCCAGATACCGTGTATGCTCGACAATATATGACCCGGGTGGCAAATCGTATTAACGTCAAGTAAAGAGAACAATGAACACTCTATACGCCAGGAATGCCCACAACATCCCTCCAGGGGATGACCCGCCGGGGCAGAATGTAGATGGTATAAACAGCGCTTAGGGCGATCAGTAAACCGGTCAACTATCACGTATTAGTCAATCCTCAAAGCAAAGGTGATTCGGTTGAATATGTATGTCAGAGGGGCGAAATACCTTCTCGAACCACGTATGGAACCAGATAGCAGTCATCAGCAACATCCACCAACTCAGGCCCGTAACTGCACCGACGAACCATACGGACCACTTCCTCGACCCACTCAGTTCGCGATCCCCGTCCTCCGACTTCTTGCTTCCCTGGTCGATGTCCGAAGCGCCCCTCCATGCTCCAATTGTCTCAAATGCCAGCATCGCAGTCGCAAGAACCAGCATGAACACATGTCCGCTTACATCATGGCCGCCTCTCCATGCTCCACCGGCGGACTTGCACGCTGTAGCGGTCAACAGTGTGTGGAGCGAGGCAGAACCCTCTTCAGCCTGCGGTATGACCTGCTCACACTTCCCGCCCGAAATCACAAAACTGCGATCGATTATTGCCGGACCAAAAAACCATTGTGTAGTCAGGTACCAGATTAGGGTAGCCAGAGAATAACGCGCGAGCGCCTGACCGATCCGCCGCGGTTGTTGACTGGACGAGGTCGTGTACGGGAGCTGAGAAAACAGAAGGGAAGCGAAAGCCGCAGTCACCCAAAGCCAGCCAACTTTCACAAAATAGACATTAAAGACATTGTCCTTGCGGGCGAAGTAATTGACGGGGTGTTGGGGGAGGTTCACATCGGCGGCGATTGAAGGGGCTAGAGGCGTCGGATGGCCGGAGGGGGGATCTCGGGTGCCCTGTGCTGTCGGGGAGAGAACAGAAAACAGCGATCCTATAATTAAAGTAATAGGATAGACAAGGAGGGCAGCCGTAGGTGGTTGGTATAACCGCGGTATTGTCGGAGAAGGGGATTTGTCTGGTGATGCCATGTTTTTTTTCACCTGCCTATTTTCGTTCGGTTTTCGATCCCCTGTTCTGAGCCTTCCACGTTTCCTCAGTCAATTTACCTGAGGATGATGAATAAAACAGAATATGTGGTAGAGTCAAATAGAATTCCGGATTCACGCAATTGAGTGAGAAGTTGTGTTGGTGAACTCGGCGGAAACTGAGGGTATGCAGCCACAGTAATAGTTAGACTTGAATGATTAAATTTAGCCTCGGAGACGGAGGGATGACGTCGATGGCACGCATGTGCCCACCGCCAGTTGACTTTAATTCTGTAGCTTCACCACATTCGCCACCAGCATCTTAGATTACAAAAGTTGATCAATGTATTAATTGCTGACAGTCCCGGTGATGAATGAAGTGAGAAGAATATTTAGATTAAATTTCTTGATCGGCTCAGTGAGTCAATACACTATTCCAACACTTGACTTCAACAATTAGAACTAAACCTACTAAGTGTTATTCTACCTTAGGTAAATCATAAACATGTACATCATAACTTTGGAAATGCGCTGTACAACCCATAATCGCCCCTTACTGAGCCTTGGGCAGCGGGGCCTGGAGTGGTAGTTTCCGTGACGAGTTACCAACGTAGATCGTCTTGGGGTAGGGAGTAACGGTCCAGTCCTGAGCCGAAACGTCCCAGTTGGCAAGGTCACGACGGGTAAGGGTCGTCGTCCACACGACCTCCTGCGATGGAGCCAAGTGCAGACGGTCAAACTTGCGCAGCACCACCTTAGGCTCATTCGGGCCGCCCAGGGAAACGTACTGTGCGGAAGAAGTTAGCATTGATAATCCTTACGCCTCATCCGATCATGTCAACTTACCAGCTGAGGAACTTCATAACCGGCGACATCACCCGTGTTCTTAACCTTCACTGAGACGCGGAAGAGATCTTCGTACAGACCGGGATTACCGCCGGCACCACCGCTAGCGGGCAAACGGGGCTGGGCAGACCCATCCGTGGCGCCTTCAGGGATATATTTGGAGTCGTCCCAGCCGTAGTTATCATCGTCAGCCGATGCCTTCAGGTCGGTAGAGTTAATCCATGGATAGATAAACTCATGGATCCTCTCTAGCCCCTCCGGATACACGTATTCCGAGGCATCGCCAATTTCACCAAAGTTCTTTGCAGCTTCAGTCATGCCACTGGTGGGAGTGTATTGGGATGCGTTCAGGGGTTTAACATGGAGATCGGAGAGTTCGAAGGTGGTGTAGCTCAAGCCGTAGCCAAACTCGTAGATGGGGGTCTCGTTGAACTTATCGAAATGGCGGTAATCGATGAACACGCCTTGGGTGAAATCAGATTGGGGCGCTCCGTTACCATTGTTGGCATCCTTGACCAAGGGAGAACCATACGACTCCCGGGTCTTGCCCCAAGTGAAAGGAGACTTGGCACTAGGGTTGACACGACCGTACAGGACATCGGCAATGGAGTTGCCAGACTCCTGACCGGGCAAACCAGCCCAGAGAATACCGGTGACATTGGGGTGATCATACCATTCATTGATCAAGACGGGTCCGACAGAGTGGATGATGACAACGGTATTGTTGCAGTTGTTCGCCGCGGTCTTGACCACATTGTCGCCGTTCTTCCACAACGTGATGTTGTTGCGATCGCCCTCGTTTCCGTCCACACTAAGATAGCCTTCTCCTGAGTCGGAATTGACAAACACGAGAGACACGCTGGCCTGACGGGCAGCCGCAGCGATCTTGTTGAGCGCCCAGTTGTCGGTCACGGCGAAGACATTACCACGGCCCTTCAGGACTTCGTTCTGAATCGCCTGCTCCGGTGTCACGAGGTATGGGAAATTCGCGGTACCGCTACCCCAGGCCATGGCAAGCGTACCGTTATCGCATCCCCGGTCATCACAGCCGTTAGCACCCCATGCGTTGGAACCCGCATCCTCTCCCAGAAGGGCAACCAGCTTTTCCTTGCGGCTCAAGGGCAAGGCACCCTCGTTCTTCAGCAGGACGGTGCTCTCCGCGCCGATGCGACGGATCAGGTCGGCATGATCGCGTTGCACGTCCACAAATTCGTTGACCCTCTCGTAAGCACCTTCCGAAACATGGTTATGCGCAAAACCATATTCGTCCCTGGTCCACGAGCTGAAGTTGGGAGGAGTATACTTGGTGTCGCGGCCAACCTTGTAATAAGCAGCCATGATTCGGACGGCCATGTCATCAACACGCCACTGGGGGATTGTGCCGTTAAGAACACCGACCGTTAGGTTTGCACCCCAGAAGGACGTGCCGCTATCGAAGGTAACATCACCAGGCATCGACATATCCATACCCGCCAAAGCAGCGCCTACACCGCTGTGATGAGCGGTCCAGTCACTCATGACAAAGCCTTGGAAACCAAGTTCCGCCTTCAAGAGCTTGTTCAAAGTTTCGCTGTTCTCGCAACCGTAGCTGTTGTTGATCTGGTTGTAAGAGCACATGATAGCACCAACTCCAGCGCGTACTGCATCCGCGAAGGGCCAGAGATACAATTCATGCATAGTCTTGTCATCGACGTTGGAACTCAGACTGTCGCTTACGTTGAATCCATAACCCGCAGCCTCAGGTTGTTGGCGGAAATGCTCTTGTTCGTTCAAGATATAATGCTTAGCTGTCGCGATGACACCAGCATCTTGAATACCTCTAATCGTCTCTGCAAACAGCACACCGGTTAGGGCTGGATCGGGCGAGAAACCTTCCCAATTTCTACCGCCGTCCGGATGAGCACCGAGAGGGCCAGCAGCAGGACCCAGCTGAACGTCAATGCCCTTATCACTGAACTCTTCGCCCATTGCCTGACCGCGGAGGTAGGCGAGCGTCTTGTCCCAAGTGGCAGCGACATTAACACCTGCAGGGAAAGCTGAATTGTAGTCCGCTGCGCGTCTACTGTCAGCAAACAAGTTAAGAAGAAAGGGGCGATGAAGAGCCACACGTACAAAAACGGATACCGAGAGGGCTATCCTGCAAGCACAGGCTGGGAATGTTAAGTCTATATTCACAGCCATTAGCCTTCTGTACGGGTGTAATGTCACGTTGGAAATTTACTTACCTGGGAACACTGCCAGTCTGTCCAACACATCTCTCTAGCTGCCATCTAAAAAGTATGTTAGCTGATCGAGCCCCGGACATACTAGAGTATACAAAAGCTTACCCCGTTCCTGTCGTTAGGTTGACTTTCTCGGTCAGCGTCATCTGGGACACTATGTCCACAGCGCGCTTGTACACTTCCGCCCATTCACCCTGACCATCTGCCCACGGGGAAGGGTAGAAAGGAGGGGAGTACGCGAGATCATCCTATTCGGAGTGGAAAGTGTTAGAAAGCTGATTCGACTAAGTACGATAGCACCGTATAGGATCGTGAAGCATACCTTGGCATTGACTACTGAGGCAGCCGTCAATGCGGCCACCTCGAACCAACCAAACTTCATGATAACGTGCAAGGTAACCAGCAGAACAGAAAATGGATACCAGGTCACCACAGGATGTTCACCAAAAGGGATTGCTGAGTGAGGGAAAATCACCAAGAGTGGAGGGGAGAAAGATGATATAAATAACTACCGGCATGGCAACGAGGGACCACCCGACGCCGCCAACAATGGAAAAAGTGGTTAAGTACAGCGGATGATGTAGTCCTTGCTTTGCGGTCTCGGCACAGCTACCCACTGGCCGTCCCGGCGCAAGCTGTCACGCATGCAGAGGGGGGAAAGGGAGACCCGCTGTTTGCTCTGTGATCGGCGTGGGTGTTCCAGATTCAGCGACGCGAGTGGAACAAATTCCATCAATAGATGCGATGATGTGGGAGGAGCTATAATGGATCTTTTCAAGGGAAAAAAAAGGGTTATTAGCAAGGGAACCAATAAACATTACACGGCGGAAAAAGCAATGACGATCCGATTCGTTACCCTGTAGACCTCTGTTTCTTAAGAGTAGTGTGTTGTCAGTCAGTGCACATTGTTTCTCGGCATTCTGAGCCATGGCTTGAGAAAGCCCATCAGGTGGCCCAGTGAGCCGGTTGGAAAGGTATTTGCCCCGCAACAGCAACCCTGGCGCGCCTTGGTTCGCTGTCTTTTGGACACCAGAAAAGAAAAAGAAAACTGGGGAACAACAAAGGGACCATCAGGTACGTCCTGTATGGTGTATGGGGAAGCTGGCGGCGCTAGTGCCCTTCAGGGGTAGTTCCCTGGTAATCGGATTACAGAACCGCCGTCCCTTCATGCCTTCTCAGTACAGTATATCCAGTAGGCACTGCTGAATTTACTAAGGGTTAAGACAGCAATATTCATCGTTTACTTTTGGCCTAACATTCCAACTCCTTCTAGAGATCCTTGACATGCCTATCTCTTCAATATTTAGGCAACTCTTTCGCAGGAGTTGAGACACAACAAGTCATGCTCCTGTAGGACAAGAACTGGATAGATACAGGACGCGATCCATGTTACCCCTAGTCCGTACGCAATATCCATTCCAGGAAAGATATAGGCCTTAGGCGGCCATCAAACTAGGTAGGATTGAGGAAAGTACCAGTGGACAACATTACACCATATTTTCATGACAAAGGTGAATTCGAGAGAGAAAAAAAAATAAGAATAAGAAAAAATAAAAAATAAAACCTTGTTGGTTCTACCAACGGTGCCATGGTCTTAATGACCAGACTAAGATCACAAGTTCCGCATCCGTCTACACAATACATGAGTGATGTTACGGTATCACTGCGAGACCAGCCTCCCCCGCATCTTCCAATCTTTCGAAGGGTTTGCTGGGGAAGGGAATGAGCTGGCTCACCCTTTCTCCAATCACTTTTAGGTCGCCAGGATCGCCACTGTCCTGCCTCCTGTGTCCTAGATTCCCTTTGGCAGGGAGCAAGGGATGAAACGGGCACGTGTCCGGTGCAGTGATTCTAGATCTATTCTATTTCTATACGCTAGAAATCACTCCGTGGCTGGGACAATTAGTCGCAACGAAAGAAGAAAAAACAGAACAGACGGGATCGAGAGATTGTGATCATGCACTCGCAGAGTGGAGTCCAATGTTTAATTTCATCGCTTGATCGCCCTCCATTATTGCCTGATTCAGGCCTTCGTCGGCAGAGACACCGACATCATTTTATCCATTTTAGCAGCCGATGGGTTCAAATCCTCTCCATGGATCATACTATCCATCGGCATGGCTCGCGTTCATGCTCCCGACAGATCTAGTATGGGTGCCTTTCTATACAGTTGGAATGTGGTCCCTACGACATCCCGGGACGATCTTGCAGAGCCTTCGAGATCTTCATTCCAACGATGAACCATGTTTCCGTCTACAGTAGAGATCGCTTGCCACATGGCTGTCAGTTTCACCTTAATCCAAACTCCGAGATAAAGCTCGTAGAGCCATCTAAAGTCGGTACCGGGGCACGGACGGCCTCCTCTTACCTTCTCCGTCGGTGTGTAGAAGATGTGATCCCGGAAATGGTCCGAATGCGAAGATTCGGGGTTGGCTGTGGGGAATCCACAAATCATCCGTGGGGCGTTTATGGATTCTCGGGATTGGAATCCCCATGGTCATTCCGACAATCCCATTCTTTACGATCATTGAAAGTTATCACCCGTATGGAGTACTAGTGAAGGTTTTGAGGGTGGGGCAACATGGCATGAAGGTAGTATTGCTTTTCCTCCGCCGCAAAGGATTCCTCGCTTCACCACGATATGTTTGACAAGATTCCTTAATATTTCATATCGAGGTATGTGGCAATAACATATCATACTACCGCAAGGTGAGTGTGCTACCAAGAATCTCGGTATGAGGCTACTTTCACACGGCAGCAATACTCCGCTACATTATTTAGCATTAACCGGGATACGCAAATTAGCCTGTTTACAATTCATTTAATGCACTGTGGAGTGCATACTGTGCATGTAAAATGCCCCCACTCAGTGGTATTTAATAACCCATCTCATTTTGACCATCTCTACGGCTTCAGAAGCCAAGCAACAATAATAACTTGACGTCATCCTCACTACTCCACTGCCTGAACACACGATACAAACAGGCCTTTGTCTATTTACTCGGAGTAATATTCCCCACATTTCACGACGCCCGTGGGGTAACCGGGGATCTGGAGTACCTTCAACTGGCCGCAACCCCCGAGGCTACCGCAGCTTGCACTTTAGCAATCCGATGGCGCTCGGATTCCCATGTCTTCTGCCGATGTTTAGCCATAAAGAAGGAAATTGTGCCTTTCCTTCTATACATGGTAACCCATTGTGCCCTAGTCCGACTTTAGAGTCATTTTTCTGTAACTTTGGACTGGAGAGTTCAGATATAAAGTTTTGGGTATGAAATTGACCGCGCAGGGTGTTTGGTTGCTGCTAGGCTGCCTTTTGCCTTCGCTTCTGTTTATGCATCTGCTGTTCTTTCCAGAGGAAATCAGAGTATGCCGCTTGGGCTTGAAACCCGCACTATAAATTCAGTATAATAGTGTATCGGGTCCAACGGCAAACGAATTGGCAATCCGCTCATTCCCGAGTAGCTTCTTCGCTGTAACTCTTCAGAATGTACTATTTCCATATAGCTCAACGTATGGTACCTAGGCGTGATTTGTGAAGAATGAAGGTAGAAGTACGCGCACAGTGAGATGGGCCCATCATGGAACCATCACACCATGGTATACGATCAGTATGCACCATATGCTGGAATACTTGATCGCACTTTCGAACTACATCCGATACAACAACCCACAAATCCATAACCCATCGCATAATGTAAATCCCGAAGCCATTGTCCCACATACCCGCCTCACTCAGGAACTCAGGAACCAAGGACCGGACACAGACATATTCGGCCTCCACAGTCGCTCACCGAGGTCGGTAAATTTTCCTCTCTCTCCAACCACCATTTCTCCGCTACGAAGGCCATTACCGATAGTTATTATAACGGTTAACTTCCTAGTTCCAGTTCAAGTTCCGATCCCGACCCTCTCTCCCTCTCTCTCTCTGCTACATCGGACCGTGGGACGATCGACACCATGACCCGGTAACGGCATAATAGCCTAAGTGGCTATTTCATGCTAAATACTGGGTAAGGTAGCGAAAAGGGTTCCATGGGATTTCCCGAAAAGCATCAAGATGACGGCCCGGGTCGGTCGGAACTGCGGTAAGTTAGCGGATAATGGATAGGTCATGGTTATAGCATTTGGGAATATAGCTCCGGTGAAAGGTTTGTAAGAGCTTCGTCACTAGTAACTATTTGACGTAAGGGTCTTTTGGGGCTCTTTTTCTCGAATGTTCGTGGGGTGTTTAGACTGTCACTTGGTTGGTCCATATGTTTGTTCATTGCCCTTCGTGGTGCTGACGTGTTGTGCGTTCGATGGTTTTACGGAACCATGCTCTCGAGCAGGGTAGGTCCTGGAAAGTTTGGTTCAATTACGCTGTTAAATTAAGTTTGGTTCTCAGAGACATATACTGGAGAGAAACCCATAGAAGCTAAGTACAATCTGAAGAAACCCCTCCCATGATAGTCGTCACAGTCTGTTCACAATATATACGTCAGCTGTTCCTGCCATGCTTTTCAGAGATGGCAAGGCCTGTCGCTCCTCAGGCAAAATCAGAGCTTGGCATCTCGTGGAGCACCCAAAGAAGAGCCATTGAATGGGCTGATGTCTGGAATCGCATCCGGGAGATCGGAGTTCTCGCCGTGCGCTAGCTTGAACAATGGTTCCCAGACGGTGACAGCCCGTTTGGTGATATGTCCATTCCCCATCTCTGGAAGATGGTAATAGATCAGTTTATCTGCGGAGCATTCCAGCAGTTGGCCAGCCATGCCCGTTTCATCTTCTAAGAATATTTGGACTGCGTCGAGGACCGTCTTCATCGGAGTCCGACTATGGGGTTTCAGGTCAGCAACCGCTCAAATATGGATCAGAGTACGGTATATGGGGAAGAGAGCCGAGATAAAAGCAGCGAAACGACTTCGACTGGACAAAACCTACCATTCCGGAGCCACGGCCTCGATCATCTCAGGAGGAACAATGGGCGTGGCAACAATACCGGGCAAGACGCAGTTTATAAGGATGTTATCCTTGGCCTTCAATGCTGGTGCAACGGCACGAACGAATTGATTGACTGCTGCCTTGGTCCCACTGTATTCGGGATACGTTTTATGAGGGAAAATACCCCCGATACTGCCGGTCACCACGATCCTTCCGCCCGCCGCAGGCTGTTGTGCCGCATAAAGTGCGTTGCTAATACAGTGCCATATACGACACCTTTGAAATTTATATCAGTGCAGGAAAGGTCCGGCTCTGGAGGGACGTCCTCCGCTCCTTTATCACGCCGGTTAAGAAGATAAAGCGAGGACTGGTCACCCACGCCAGCGTTCGCGCAGAGGACATCAATTCGCCCCCATAACTGGAAAACCTTTTTGAAGACGGCAGCTTGGCTCTGATAGTTGCTGACATCTGCTTGGAAAAAACGTGCGTTCTCACCCAGGCTCTGCACTAGATCGTTTCCAGCCTGGGTTCGGCGGCCAACACAGGCGACTTTCCATCCACGTGAATGCAGGTCCCTGGCAATATCGGCTCCAATGCCAGACTAGCAGAGGGTGGACGTGGAGTAAGTGGATCTGTCCTCTCTATCGACTAAATGGAGTACTTACAGTCGCGCCTGTTATAATGGCAACTCGTTTATTCTGTTCACCCATTTTCTTCGTCGGATATATGTGTGGGTGACAAGAATTGGGAGAACCAGCATTCAGACATTGTGCCACATGCTAAGAACCACTACTTTTAGTTTAGGCTGCAAGCGCGCACAAATAGCTTCGGGGTTATTAAATGATTGCTGGCTAGTCCATGCCTATTACCCGCAGTGGAGAAAGACCCCTACGCGATGTGACTTAGTCTCTTGCCATAGCGGGAAGTCAGGAGGCGATGAAAAACAGGAGGGGGGGAAAGCCCAGAGAGAGTACAAGAAAATATATAAGAAACGCTGCTATAACTATCCGTTGTTCTGGGTGGCTAATGCCACACTCTTAGTGGTAAAGTGGCTTGCGGGTCACAGCTCTTCCCCGCTGTCATAATGGGGATCTTGTCAATCGTCGTCCTTCTAGCGCTCTCAACCGCTAGCGATGGATGGGCCGAAGTAGCACACGATCAACACTCTTGCTTCCTTGAATATACAAGGAGACTCTAGGCCGATTGGTGGGTCCTTTGCCACATGTCCCAGCATGTTATATCAATGGTTGAAATAGTGTGTTCAGATACAACAGCGGCATCATTGCTCTTGGAAGTATTATCAAGTTCATTGGTGAGCACAGGTCAGGCCACCGCGCTAAAACACCAAGCCACTCCCAACTGTGGTGAGCCGTGTGCGGACCTTGCGGTGCCTTAGCCATCCATAATGGGCCAAGCCGAAAGTATATTCACAGGGGAACTTATTGCAATTCGTTCGCAGCATGCAACTCACCGTTTGTCCATGCATACTTGGTTTGGTTCAAAAGGATGGCGCTCGGCGGGAGGTCCCTCGAGTCAGGATCCATAGATTGACTGGGGGACTAGTACTAAACAAGGATAGGTAACGTGACATCCATCCATCGCAGGACAGGTTGGAATCGCGGTGTCCTCCGTATCACGGTATGTCCAAGCTATACTTTATTCTCCATGTTGAGTTCTAGTCTGACATTTATTTTGAGCACTCAGCCTGATCCTTACATTGAACTAATAAAGCAAACAAGCTGAGTGAATGCAACATCTCCGCCACATACTAATGCACGTACATATCACAAAGGAACAGTGTACATTGTTTTCTCCACCAGTAGGTCTCCTTCCATAAATGTATAAAGGTATCATTGTTGGCTCTTGTATTTGCTGGTGTCAAAAACAACCAGCTGGTTTGTTATGATGTATCCGGTCACATACCAATGAAGTATGAGACTTACACCAGTAGTTCACGCAAGAAACTTGGTCTTAGCATCGGTATTAGTGGTCCACTAGTGGAATACCATCCAAGCCAATTTATCACCAACTAGTCCCCATAGTGTGGATGAACACAGTCATTCATTGGTCCAAAAGGGGTCTCTGGTGGCACTATTCTTAGGTTAGTATGATGCGGTATACTGCAATGTTGGTTCCTTCACAATGGCAAACTAACATGTTTTGGGAACCCTGGTCTGGTAAGAGCACGCTGGTAAAAATATAGAGTGTTGTGCAGTTGTAGTTGCCATAGACTCGATCGTGCAGACGGCCATCGTTACATCAGTCACGGTTCCTTCAGCGAGATAACCAGTAGCTATACTCTTGGTGTGGCAACAGTGGCCAGTTTCCAGTAGTGACAGTCAGCCCTCTGATCGAGTTTCTGGTCCCCGAAGATAATGCATTTAGTCAAACAGCTTGTCAAAAGACGAAGATGGACCTGGAAACTCCGGATTCTTGGTAGTGGCGGTCAATCGAGCACGCTTATGATATCCAAATGATATCCAAGAGATAGAAATTAGTCACCACTAATCTCATCTAGAACCTGAAATAAAATCTGATTTTGCACTCTGCATCCTTCGTCAGTTGTAAGGCCATTCGAGAAACCTGCCCAGAGCTTTTTCTGAATCTCTGCCATGTCCAAGCCACGTCTATTATGTTGCTTGATCAGCTCTTCCGCAATCGCGCAGAGGGTCGTATTGAGAACATCATAACTAGTGGGTCGTGATCCCACTGCTTCACCAGGAAGACAACTACATATGGACAGACGTTGGTCGGATATTTGTTGATCTGAAATCTCCTGAGGCTCGGTTTTTTGGCGGGCCTTGCAGCGCCCTGGAGCACGTCTGTCTTTAATGAGCTTCCTAGCTCCACTATGTGTGGGACCTCGGCACCCTCCTGGCACCTAGGTAATGAAGGCGAACTCCCACAAGTGTTCCGTTGATTCTGCGTGGCCGGGGACTGTCTTAGAGCTGGAATGGCAACCTTCTGAGCCGTGTTTGGGTCCGCAAGTGCCTGAGCATATTCTGCAATAATTTCGGTAGGAAACCCTAAGCGAGAACAAAGACGTTTCAAGCCCCTATTTTCGGCTTCCAGCTTCTGAACAGCCAGTCTATGTTCAACATCTTTTTTATGGACTTGTTCTTGGAGCGCCACCAGCTTTTGCTCCAGGCCACGGATGTGCTCCTGCTTCCTAGCACGGCTCTTGCGTTGGTTTTCTCGAACTCGAGCAAGCTTATCAATTTTCTAGCAACGGGGTCAGACAACTCAGTCACTGACTGGATGGTACTAGATCTCCGGGGCTTCAACCTTTTGATTGGTATTATCCATTACTTAGTTTATGCAGCTAGACTGTAATGTTGGGCTGAGTACCATGCTTTAGAGGAAAGGAAAAATGATAGTTTCTGGAGAGGACGGCAAGAACCAGATCGACACGTGACAGGGCAGCTTGGTCGCAAATTAGCTTTACTCCCCCCGACCGGGAACGGTAGTTAAAAGTAAGATCTCCCTCGGCACATCATCTCAAAGACACTTTGGCTGGGTTAAGGTGATGAACAATGAGCTATCACTGGGTCCAGTGGAGCAGCGCATCATAATAGTGGGATTTTTGCTGCAGCTTGCGGCGGGAACATCCCATTTCAAGTGGAGATGAAGGAGTCTAAATCCGGACAGGTCAACAGCTGGTTGGAACCACTGTTCCCTCCGTCGAGTGCGTAATAAGATCCATACACTTGAAGGGAGATTGAATCGGCGCCTTCTGTACAACGTCATTAGCCGTCAGTCGCTGCTTATTCATTCAAGAGCTAACAATTGTCGCACTCCTCTATCATCTCTCTCCCCGATTCCTAAGACGGTTTCTGTTTCACGCTTTCTAGGCTTGTATTGATCGCAAATTCACTGTTCGGGTGGGTGTCACTATCTAGTGTATCAATACACCATCATTCTCTTGCAGCTATGGTTTCTACGCGACACCATCCCCGCGACTTTCCGCCTCCATCAACGGGAAAGGCTTCCTCACCATCTCACAACGATGGCGCTACGAACCGATGGGCACACGCCCCGTCGACTGCCATTATCATTTGGCTTGTCTTGTCAGTCCCGCTAGTTATCTGGGATGCAGGCTATGTGTTGCTCCGGCCGCATAGCATGCCAGGCAACAAATTGCACTCCCCTATTTGGATTCCTTATGCGCAGTATGGAGCCATTGACTATCTCTACGGCTGGCCGGCGTTCAACGCTCGGAACGGGTTCCCAGCAGCACAGACGGTCTTGAACCTTGTGGAATGTGTCGGGTACATCTATTACCTCTGGATCGTGTATAGGCACGGAGTCTCCGCGTCGGGCGGTCGCGGGCAGCGCAAAGCCAAAAAGGGGCTTATTTGGATGCTGAGAACCGAGAAGGTGGTCTCTGGCCGAACTGGAGCCACTGCCCTTTTAGTCGCGTACAGCGCATCTCTGGCGACTCTCAGCAAGAGTGTCCTCTACTGTGAGTTGTGAAAAGCAGAGTCCTTTATATTGGATTGCTGTGCCTTGCTTACAAGGATCCCAGGGCTGAATGAGGCTTTCTCTGGCTTTGATAACATTGGACATAACGATGCTGTAACTCTGATTTTCCTGTGGATTATACCAAAGTAAGCTGCCTGGGTCATGATCTCACTTCGTTCGCTTACAGGTGGGCCAGCGGTCTTTGGATTGTTTTCCCTGGCTACAATATGTATATTTTGGGCGCAGAAATCGTGGCTTCCCTTGTCAGCGCCGTGCCACGGCCGCGTGCTGGGCGACCTAGGTCGTAGTAGGATCCGTTGCCGGAACGGCATTTATGCGGGGGACTGTTACATGGCATGCCACGCGTGGAACATGAACCGCAGCCGAACGAAGCATCTTGGGATGTGATAATTAATTCGATGAGTAATCTCGTATGGCGGTGACGTTTAATGTTAGATATGTATATTCTGATTGCTAATGTAATAGAAAGACTTGATGTCATGGGGGTCCGGGCGACGACCACGGTAATGTCAAGCTCACCCCTTAGTACACCGGTATATCTTCAAGAGTGGACTATCTTGCCGAATATGCTCGAAGGGTAGTGTAGAGTATTCACCTCGGACAGTCGATAATGGACCGTAATGTCACCACAAGGGGTTTTATACGCCATGTCGAAGAGAATGGGAAATGTCCCGGACTATGGGAAGAGTTCCTCCATGTAACCGCCTGAATTGTCAGGCGTCCATGCGTAGATAGTCGATGATAGATTCAAATAGGAACTAGCGGTAGTCATGACTCGTGACTCGAACACGGTGAGGATCCACAACCCACGCATCCGTTTTCATAGTTGGACTATTGGAAGTATAACCAACAGAAAAAAAACGGGAGGCTAACTCACCAACCAAAGGTCATATACTCAGAGGATCCATTCTCCTGGGATCCGAATTCAAAGAATATTTGGTTCACCCAATGACCAGGATTGCATATAACGTGCAAGATGGCCCCCAGATGACGGGGTTAAGGCACCTATTGACTTAAATCCAGACTCGATGATTCCTTCGTGACTTTTTAGTTGCATGAACCCGCTACCAAGAGGAGTTTAGTCTGCAACTCTTTCTCCTCCACTTTTCGCGCTTCTTTCTACTTTGTACAGAGAAATAATCCCTCAACTCCCCGGCGACGCCCGTAGTGAACCCGAGTTGTTCTTCCTGACTCGGGGCCGTCGCCAAACCCATTAATAATCCCCCATCATGACGACGGCCAGCAATGCCAAGCCGCCACCGACCGACCCTCATCAATCTTCCCCATACCCACCAAAAGCGACCGCCTCATCCCGCAATTTCGTCCCGTCCTTCTCCCGAGACCACGAGAATCCTTGGACCTCTCCCCAATCGACTATCTCCGGCCTACCGAACGATGACCCGCGCCTGGCTCTTGGGGTACCTGCACCCGTCATGATCCCGCCCGAGTCCGACGAGTCCCCCTTGGCCTCCTCCGCAGGCCTGACCTTGGGGCACGACGATATCGCCCTCCCCGACGATCTCGACACGCAGAGCCGGGCCAGTTCGCGCGACCCCGGGAGCGTCCAAACCGGGGGCGATATCGGCAATAATCTAGAAGCCGGGTACGACCATCTCCCCGAGGACGGGAACCAAGACTCCGCGCAGAATGGTGAGCAAAAGAACGATAAACCAGCGTGGAGCGAAATGAAGACAAAGGCTGGGAAGGAGCGAAAGCGCCTCCCCTTGGCGTGCATCGCGTGTAGGAGGAAAAAGATTCGATGTTCCGGCGAGAAGCCCGCGTGCAAACACTGCTCGCGCTCTCGCATTCCCTGCGTGTACAAAGTCACCACCCGGAAGGCAGCGCCGCGGACAGATTATATGGCAATGCTAGATAAACGGTTAAAGCGAATGGAAGATCGCGTCATTAAGACGATCCCGAAGGAAGAGACAAGGGATATGTCAGCCATCGGGCGATCAGTGGTCCGCCCTCCCCAGCCAGGGCAGACCTCGAAGAGCCAGAAGAAGCGGACAGCCGACGAAGCTTTTGCGAATGAGATGGACGAGTGGGCTCGTGGAGAGCGCAAAGCTTCGCTGGATATCTTCCCAATGCGCCGTGAAAGTAAGATTAACGATAGCACTGGTTTGATGACTGAGGGAGCAGAATTTTTACCCTCGTTAGAGATTCAAGAACATCTCGCGGAAGTTTTCTTTGATTGTGTCTATGGGCAGTCTTACCTCCTGCTCCACAAACCTAGCTTCATGCGTCGATTAAAGGCCAGGACTGTGCCGCCAGCTTTGATCCTGGCAGTTTGCGCCGTATCGGCTCGATTTTCAACTCATCCACAGCTTAACTCCGAACCGCCTTTTTTGCGCGGAGAGAATTGGGCCAATCCAGCTGCTGCAATAGCTTTAAGCCGTCACGACGCACCCAACATCACGATTCTGACTGTCTTCCTGCTGCTGGGTCTGCATGAGTTCGGAACTTGTCATGGTGGTCGAAGTTGGTCTTTCGGGGGTCAGGCGTTGCGGATGGCATACGCTCTGCAACTGCATAATGAACTTGAGGAGGACCCGCTATTGAGCCAGACCAATGGGGGCGGGTCCCAGCTCAGCTTTACAGATCGAGAGATTCGAAGACGGACTATGTGGGCTTGCTTCATGATGGACCGTTATAACTCGTCTGGAAGTCAACGTCCACCTATTGGAAACGAAAAGTTTTTACAGATACAACTACCGATCAAAGAATCGCATTTTCAGATGGAAATCCCGGGTCCAACAGAGGATCTGGATGGAAATGTTCCCAATCCGGTTCCAGAAGACGTGGGCCAGCTGTCAAACGCGAAGGACAACATGGGAGTGTCTGCCTATATAATCCGCGCCATAGTATTATGGGGGCGTATCGTGGACTATCTAAACTTAGGAGGAAAGAAAAAAGATGCTCATCCACTGTGGTCACCCGAGTCGGGGTATACGCATCTCAAACGACAAATTGAGGAGTTTTCTGCCTCTCTTCCAAGCCATTTAGCATTTACTTATGAGAATCTCCAGATTCATGCGGCCGACAGGATCGCCAACCAGTTTCTCTTTCTGCACATAATCATTCATCAGAACATGCTATTCTTAAACCAGTTTGCCATTCCGTTATCACCGGGAGGGCGTCCCCCACGGGATATGCCCAAGGCTTTCTTGAGCAACGCTGGACGGGCCGCGGTAGAGGCGGCCCACCATATCTCTGTGCTGATCGATCGCGCTTCGGCATACCCTCTCACCGTTCCCTTTGCTGGTTATTGTGCATATTCAGCCAGCACCGTACACATCTGGGGTATCTTCTCCAAGAACTCCCAGCTGGAGGCTCGGTCAAAGGAAAACCTTCGATATACCTATAGATATCTAAACAAGATGAAGAAATACTGGGGTATGTTCCATTATATGGTGGAAAGCGCTAAGGACCGATATCGGCAGTTTGCAGATGCTGCCATTAAAGGGTCGGTTGTCACCCAGAACGGCAGCCAGATCACCGCAATGTTTCAGTATGGTGACTGGTTCGACAAGTACCCTCATGGTGTCTCGAGGATGCATTGGGAGGACCCAAATACTCAACAGAAGAATAAAACCGACGACGCCGTGATGAGCCAGAAGGCCGACCTCCAAAGCGTTGAGGACTTCTTTGCCAGTCTCTCCCCTACGTCACAGCCCAGCGTGCCCGGTCGACAGCATTCCAGGAAGGACAGCAGAGGCGAAAGTCTGTCTGACATGGGCCAGCCAACCTCTCAACCGATGGTTGACATCAACACTCCCGGGATGATGGGCACGCCTGGAGCCGGGTTCCCGCAGTCCGGACTGTTCAACCAGGCTCGTGGGCAACTTTACGGCCAGTATCCATTCGACTTCCCCGTCCCAGCCGACCAACTACCCCAACTCGACCGACAGTTCGTCTACGGCTCCTTCGGCGGTCTCGATCCCTCCACCAACTTCATACCTCAAGACAATCCGCCCATCTCCACCGTAAACGGCGCCGAGCCTCCCAGGCAGCCCCAGACAACTCTGCCATCTTCCCAGGCCAGCTAGATCCCAACGCTCCCGCCGGTCTAGGCGAGTACTACCAACCAAGCGCCTGGTTCCTCCCCTTCAACCTCGACCCCGTCAGCGCAGGCGTCGCCTCGACCCCAGTCCCGCGCAAGTCCCCGGCAGCGGAACCCCAGACATGTCCAACTTTAACACGGGAAACATGCCCATGGGCACGTTTGACATGGGCATAGCGGGTGTGAATCGAGGCCCTCACGTGAACGAGTAACGCCGGCGCTTGATGTTAGATATCCCGGCGGATTTTTGTTTTTCATTGTTTTGGTTTTCTTTCGGGATCGACTTGGCGAGTTTTTGATCGGCTTGTATGGGATGGTTTGGAAAAAGAGATGGTTGGAGTTTTGTTATGATCGCTTGATATCTGTACGGTGGTCTTATGTGTATATTTTCCTGGGGTTTAGGGAATGAACTAATCTCTTCTGATGGTGTGGGTATCTTCTGCTGTTTTTATATTATATCTTGGGCTGGATCAGACCATGTGGTTCAGTCAGGTCCTCCTGGGTAAGTATTTATCCTGTGCCAACTAGTAAAGAACATATCTCTACATCCCACATCTACAATAGGCAAAAAAGAAGACCTCCCGCTATCTGTAAAACCCGAAATCTATATATATATATACCACACAGGGGGACTAAGATCCAGGAAGACAAGCAAAATCAAAACAAAAAAGAAAGTGCATCATCCGTGAATCGAACACGGGCCTCATCGATGGCAACGATGAATTCTACCACTAGACCAATGATGCTAGTTGATATCATCTCCTTCAGATTTATGCTAAATATACCAAGGATTATGGCCCTTGGTATCAATACCACAGCCATCCCTGGACTCAAAGACTGGCCAGGATTGTATTAGACAACTTATTTTTGGTATGGACTGCTATAATAGGGAAGCGGCATGGTATTGGTACTGAGGAGGGTCTGTTGTACATACAGGTTGCCAGGTTCATAAATAGCTGTCTTTCCACGATAGTATATCGTACGTTGTACTCCGTACGTATCTTTGATTTTGCATACTTCGTATATCAGGATCGACAGAATAACTCAATATGAAACCTGGTTCGGCAGACGAAATGCTAAAGCGAATATCATATCCGTGTTCGGAAGCGAAGGAATTCATAGCGCCAATGACTCGTATTCGTAACAGTCGAGGGAAATCTTACACAAACATGTAATACAGTGAAATCTCACATGACAATCATATAACGAACAGACAACAGCCGAAAGCAAAGCAAAGGAAACAGGGAGGATCATGATATGTTAATCCTCCCATTCTTCGTCCAGTTGATCTATCAGTCGATTTTCGGCATCGACATCTCTTCCAGAGTTTCTCCGCCCGCCGATCGCGCCGATGAACCCGCCGCGCTGGCTGCCGCTGCGGGTGTGGCCGAGAGCCGGCGATCGTTTGAGACGGAACGCGCGGCCTAGGGAGGAGCCGACAATGGTGAACATGTCCTAGTTACGCTTGCTGATTAGCGATGGTTCCCAATGGTGTCATGGTTTAGGCATATGAGAAAGACACAAGTGGAAGGAACCCTGCTAAACAATAGAACTATTTAACGAAATCGTTGATGTCCAACATTCAAGGGCTAATCACAAAAGCAGATCCTGCTGCTGTACACAGAAAACCACAGTTTACCCATGTTCAACATAGGTCTAAATGATTATATAGCAAACAAGAGATAGGAAGAACATAGACCAGATGCTGAAAGTACCGACTCCCTCGATGTAATTGAGCTCTAGACCAGCCAAAGCGGCATTCAATCCATCCTCGAAATTGGTAGCTTCGCATAGTTGAACTCCTTGTAGGAACCTCGATCATGGCGGCGCGCTCTGGAAGGAGCCCGCCGAAACGGTATCAATGCTAGTATACTTACTTTTACAAAGTCGAACATGCCCGCCCAGAGGCTGTAGTTCGGGCACTGTCTCCAACCGCGTTGGTGCATCACTGTTCGCTGATAGGCGCAGCCACCAACAAGGTACGCGACGACGGCGATCAATGCACTACAGGACGGTGTTAACCCTTTCGAATTTTTCCCTTCCATAAATGGCCCATCGGATAGGTAATACTCACATCACACCGAATATACCGGCTGGGCCAAGGCCTTGGCCGTCGGCCGGGGCCACGGCACCACAGGCGGCAGAGCTTCGGACTTCAAAGAAGTAGGTGCACTGGTCCATAGTGCCCACAAAGGACGCGGTTGCCTGATGTGCGGGGGCATCACGATCGCAAAGGAACGACATAATCGTCGATTTCGTGCGCGAGGCATTTCCGATAAGCTCCCCAGCACAAGGCGAACCATCAGTGTAGTTCAGGACCAGCTTGCGACCCCGGAACAATGGCTCAGACGCTTGTTGCCTAAGAACAAGTCAGCCTGGTTTCTCTCTGGTTATCATGGTCACAACCCGCACACAAGCATACCCGATAGAATAGATCTTGCCCTCCTTCTCATAATATGCACTAATATTCTGCCACCTTGCACGGTCGACTCCCACCACATCTTTGATATTCTCCACCACCGGAGCGCACACGTTTAATGTGAAGTTTGCATGGTAGTCATGACCCTTGGCATGCCAGCTCTCAGTGCGAACGTTTCCACGAAGCTTTTCGTCCTTCGTCTTGGGTGGGGATAGAGAGATTGGATTTAGATCATAGTAGAAACCGGTAGTTGGCGAGCGTGCCACACAGGGCGGCAAGGCATTTGGGCTTGTTGGATCCGAGGCAGCATAAACGGAAGCATGTGGTGCTGAGAGAAGGAAGAGGAACCCAAGCAACGACGTAGCTAGCGACTTCATGATGGGAGATAAGTCCCGCAGGGCGAATGCGGGATGAATAGCGATAACAATGATAGAATAAAAAGGACCGAGATCGCCGCAGACGAAATTAGTAAGGAAAGAAAGTCCGGTGAATTGTTGATAAAGGGAAAAGAAGGAATTATGGAACGAGAGTGAGTAATGGGGGGAGCGAAGGATAAGAACCGAGGAGGATACGTAAGATGTTGGATCTGTGGTGGTTCTCCAACAATCCACTGGAACTGCGGAGAAAACAAAAGGAACAAAAAGGAACAAACGCAAAAAGGGCCCGCGGCCCCCGTCGGCCAACAAACATCCGACTCAGACGACAGACCTTCTTTTTACAACAAACACTCTTCTACCGACAGATAAATACCTGCTGTCCTGCCATTGGAGAAGCCCACAGCTTCCTACTTCTTCTACAGTCTTGTCTGTGGGTTTCTCTGGCATATCCGCGACCCCTTGGATCGCGCATTCTCTGACGTCCCGAATTTCAGTCGCATCATGGCGCCCAAGAAGAATACCAAGACTAAAGTCCCGATACAGCCCGTTCCCGAAAAACGGGGCTATGAATTCTGTGGCCCGTATGTTGTTTCAAGAGTGTCGCAGCCAGGAACCTATCAATTGACCTTCCAATAGCCCCGGCGCGTTTGCATTTGTGACCTTCCTACCAGCTCTCATCTACGCTTTCACCTTCTTTTGTAACGATGTATCCGGCTGTCCTGCTCCTTCGCTGCTCCATCCGTCGACCTTGTCCCTGGATCAATTGAAGAAGGAGGTTAACTGGCCACAAGATGGACTTAAAGGGTTCTTCGACGCTCGTGTGACCTTGTGGGTGTTGAGCTATTACCTCCTCAGCCTGGCCTTGAACGTGTTCCTACCCGGCGACGAGGTCGAGGGTACGGAATTAGCCTGCACAGGAAGACTTCGATACAAGTTCAATGGTATGGATCTGATGTTGGATGCTTGAGTGATATCGGCTGACCCATTTACAGCCTTCCCCACCGCCGTGTTGATCCTCTCCGGTTTGGCTCTGGGCACATACGTCGACGGTGCGGACTTCGTCGTGTGGACCTTCCTTTGGGATAATTACGTGCAGGTCATTACGGCAAATTTGATCATTTGCACAGCGATTGCGGTCTTTGTTTATGCGAGGAGCTTCTCCGTCCCCGCGCCTGGTCAACTCAACCCCGAACTTAGACAATTGGCACCGGGTGGCCACACTGGCAATGCCCTGTATGATTTCTTCATCGGCCGGGAGCTTAATCCTCGGGTGAAGTTGCCTATTCCTTTCGTCAGTGAGGCTTCACGGACGATTGACATAAAAGTATGGTGTGAGATGCGGCCCGGTTTGCTTGGGTGGAATATACTGAACCTGTCCAACATTGCCCGCCAGTACAGAACGTATGGCTATGTGACGGACTCGATCGTTCTTTCCACCGCATTCCAGCTCTTCTATGTTCTGGATGGCTTGTATATGGAGCCAGCTGTCCTAACCACGATGGACGTGATCATGGATGGATTCGGTTTCATGCTCTCTTTCGGTGACATGGTGTGGGTCCCATTCGTCTACAATTTCCAAACTCGGTATCTCGCGGTTTACCCCTTGGAGTTGGGTCTGCAGGGCATCCTACTTATCTTGGCCGTAACTGGCGTGGGATACTCGATTTTCCGTGGCGCCAACAACCAGAAGAACCGTTTCCGTACGGACCCCAATGACCCCCGTGTGAAGCATATCAAATACATTGAGACGGCCAGTGGATCCAAGCTGATGATTTCCGGATGGTGGGGAATGGCGCGTCATATCAATTACTTGGGTGACTGGCTGATGTCGTGGTCGTATTCGCTGCCCACTGGATTCGCCGGTTATACTATTATCGAAAGCATCACCCAGACCGGCGACGTGCAGAAGCAGGTTGTACAGAATCCTGAGGTCCGTGGCTGGGGAATGATTTATACCTACTTCTTCTTGATCTATTTCGGTGTCCTGCTTATCCATCGCGAGAGACGCGATGAAGAAAAGTGCAAGAGGAAGTACGGTCCTGATTGGAACCGCTATACGTCTCTTGTCCGCAGCCGCATCGTCCCTGGTATCTACTAGTCGGATCCCGCGCGCGTTGTATTCTATGTTGGGGGTCTCCTAATATTGTTTCTGTTTACGTGGACCAAAAAGTTCGTGATGTGTTCGGATTAGACCCTGGATCCACACCAGTCGCTTCGTTCTATGTATTCATAACTATTACTTTTTAATATGTACATCATATAGAGCCACGTCATGATATTCATTGCCATAAATTCCATCAATTGGATCAACGCTTCCGCTTCCTGGGATCAATCAGTACCTCCAATCCCCAATTCTCGTCCCCTGGATTGGGGATCCATCCACCCAATACTCTTCTAGCGTCTCGTAGCGCACTCTTCCGCGCTTGGAGTGACTCTGTCAGAACCGTAGGCTCTTTCTTGAATTCCCGATATGTCGGGGCCTCAGTAATCCGCTTTGTCACATCCAGTCCCAAGGACAACAGCCCTTCCTCCACACCGATCTCGATGCCAGATTCCTGATCCTGATCTTCAACGCAAGATTGCACAATCTCTTTTGATAGGCCCCATAGCCTCGCCCTTGACAACGCAGAAGCGCCCCGTGCCAAGGGCTCCGACGCCCGATTCCCCTGTTTCACCCCGTTGATGATAGTCTCATACAAGCCTGTCCGAGAGCCACCCAATTTAGGCAACGACTTGGCGCCATTATCCACCACACTAGGAACCGACACCGACGAAGCCGCCGCCCAAACAGCAGAAATCACCGCCGGTTTACTTTTCCTCGAAGCAGCCGTGGGATCCGACTTCCCAAACGCCCAAAGCTCCTCGACGAGCCCAGCAGGAACCGACAGAATCCTAAACGGTCGAAACCGCCAGCCATATCTTCGCTCGTCCACTGCCTCCTCAGCACCGGGGGACCAAAACCTCCCCTTGAGCTCTCCCATCCTCCCATCCTCCCCAAAGCACCTCTCACACCCCACCCGACTGATCTCCCCCTCGGGCATAATAATCCCCTCGAGATACGCATTCGCCGTAGTCGCCACAAGCAGACTACTCTCGAACGACAACAGCGACGAAACCTGCCTCAAGGCCAACTTATCCGAGCACGACTTGCTCCGCGTAGCTTCGGCATCCGCACGAGACGGCTTCCGCCGCACGATGCCCAGTCGCGAGAAATGCGCCCTGCCGTCAAGAAGCTCGCCGTCCTCACCATCTGGCGTCGTCGTGGGAACCTCCCACGGCGTTGGGTCCTCCTGCGCCGCCATGCAGAGTTCCATGCTAGCGTCTCCGCATGGCGCACAGGTGCAGTACATGTAGATTTTCAGATCCGGGTTGAGTTCAAACGGTGGCAACGTTACTGCTGAGTCTTGTCGTCGTCGAATGTATGGAGAACATGGCTTTTTCTCTTTCTCTTTCTCATCCTCTTTCTTCTCAGTTGCTATATCGTTCTCAGATGAGGCCCGTTCCTGGGCAATCAAACTCCGACACTCGGATAGTAGCCAGTGATTGAATGCGCGGAGAGCAAGGATCTCAGCGTGCCAGTCGTGGAGCACTAGTCCTTTGCTTTGGGGGACTTGAGACGCTGAGAGGCATTTTGCGCCGGATCTGCTTATCGTTAGTGGTAGTTCTACCTTTTTTTTTTTTTTTTTTCTTTTTTTTTTTTTCTTCTTCGTTTGTATCTCAGTGAGATAGAAGTGGAAACTTACGTAACAGCCACACAAGTCAATTCTTCATCTGGTGTATCTTCCCCTAATAAGATCGGCATTGTTAGATCCTCGCCATACTACATATTATACACCACGAAGCAAGCACAGGGAATAAAACACCAAGAAGATACAATTCCAAACAAATATAAAGAAAAAAAAAAAAGAAAAGAAAAGAAAAAACATTGAAAGAAACATACATACCCTTCACAATCACAATGCCCGACATAGGAATCCACTCCCTGGTCCCATCAGGCCGAATACTGGGCTTACTGCGCGCAGGCAAGCCATCGAAATGCGCATGCACCAGACGCGCAATCCGACATGCCAACGGCGGTTTTGTGCCTGACTCCTCCATATCCGGATTCGGATTCTCTCACTCTATAACCAAATTCTAAAGAGTAACAGAGAAAGAATGAAAGACCCCGTCACAATCCCACACGATACAATCATACCCCACAAAATTTCTTATATATATCTTTATCACGTGATTCCATAGTACCCAGACATAAATCCGCCGATAAAAGAAAGATATCACGATAAACCCACAGCCTCACCAAACCCCCAACCAAGTCCAGAACAACTTACAACCGCCCCACCACCCTCACCTCCAACTCCTAGATATTACCACCGGACAGAATCGCCCAAAATGGCCGACAAGCTGCGCACGCTCCAGAACCTCGAGGCCATGCAGGCGCGGTACGTGGGTACGGGCCACGCGGACACGACCAAGTACGAATGGACGTCGAACATCATCCGCGACAGCTACGCTTCGTATATTGGGCATCCGCCGATGCTGTCGTACATGGCTGTTGGCATGGGTGAGCCGAAGGAGAAGGTGCGCGCGATGTTTATTGAGAAGATGGTGAGGGGGGCTGGGAATCCGCCTGAGGTGAGTTTTCTCGCTTTTCTTTCTCTCTCTCTTTTTTTTGGGGGGAGGGGGAGAAAGGGACAGGGAGTAGGGGGGATTGTGTGAGTGAGTGCTGATTGTTTGGGCTTTAGACGCAGGAGTGAATTGATTGCGACGGGTGACTATCAGCTATAGTCTTATTATGATTGTCGAGGTTTACGGACGATAATGCTTTCTCTGAGGCGAGGACTCTGCTTGATGGCTGGCTGGCGGGTTGAACTCGTTATCAGCGCCGGTGCTGGGTTGGTACTGCTTGATGCCAACTGACATGCGGTCCGTTTACTGTTGTGCTTCATCGCTTGGGAGTTACGGAGTATCTTAGACGGCTCGGTGGGATGAACTGGGCTTATCAGTTGTACGCTCTGGGCTGACTTTTGTTGATTTATTTCCATGTACTATAATGATTCGAGAACGTCGGTTCCATGCTTTTAGTGAAAGGACTGGGCATGCATCCACAGGGTGTCCGAATAAAACAACTCATACATATGCGAAACATAGCCATGCAAGATCGTCCGTATACCAAAAACTACATGTACACGTCAAGCTTCCAACATAACATCACTTTTCCGTTTTTCCAGCTGCCGCCGCCAAGTGGGTGTTCTCAGTTTGCAAGGACGCGATCAGCTCGAGCCATTGTCGTCGCTCATTCCTAAGCCGCTCCAGTTCTTTCCTCAGATGGTCGTTCTCGTGGCGCAAGATCTCATTCTCCGTTCGAGACTTCGTTTTTTCTTCATGGTCTGCTTGCTTGCGCTGTTTAGACTCAATCTTTGATGCCTCCTTGAGCTGATGCCTCTCGATCTTCCCCAGCTGCTTGAGGAGCTTGGTTTCCTCGTTGAATAAGCCCGAAGCGACCTTGTGCATCTTCGCTGTGTCGCGACTGCTTGGAAGATGAGCCAAGTTAGGACTGCTCGACGAGCGGAGTTCTGACGATTGGCGCTGGTTGCTGCTGTCACTGCTAGCGTCGGCGGCCGCCAATGCAGCTGCAGATGCTTTGTCTCTCTTGGACCCTTCCTCGCGGGATGGTAGATGGAGGGATCTGATGTCTTCTCGTACTCGGTCCAGGTGAGTCTCGACTTCACGTTTACGTTGAGCTAGCTTAGCAAGCTGTTTCTCATGCGAGGTTAGCTTGCCGTCCTTCTTCTCTATCTTCACCAACTCCGCAGCGGAGATATTGAGGTGTCCAGATTCGATTGGGGTGGCGAGGCCGGAGTTTATCGAGGACGCTTTGTCCTGCGAAAGCTGGGACTTTGCATCATCCTTATCTTTTTCCATTGCATCCCTTTGTGGAGCGGGATCCCCACTGGATCGGGGCGCTCTCTCTCTGTCCTCTTTAGTCACATCAGACATGTCTCCTGATGAATGGCGTGAGTGGCCGGGTATATAGTCCAGCACAGCCTGGGGGGCGTATCGTTCCAATCCAGCGTTGAGTAGATAGGCAAAGCTGGCAATGAGACCATGATGCTCCACCTCGGTATCCGAAATTTCAGAATCGCTGATCTCACTATCTTCAGTTTCCTGCACGCCAGCCGTATGTAGGCTGTTTCTCCTTCTCATGCGACCATCGTCCATACCTTGCTCGGCGGACGCGTTAGGATCGCGACAAGCCCAATCCAGAAACTTGACCGCATCCGAACAGATACTCTTCGGAGTACCCTTCTCAACCATCCACCGAGGTATGTTACCTCCAGGGTCACTTCTCGTCACCATAATCCACTCGACAGGGTTGGTCTCCTCAGGCCCCTCGCCCACCTTAACATCACCACCCTGCTTCTCTTTCAAAGCCGCCCCCGTCTCCCCATTACCAGACCCCTGGCCATCACCACCACTTCCCCTCGTAACCGGAATCTCCCTAATAAACTCCACAGACTCATACTGCCCCCGAATATATCCCTGACAAGGCGGCGTATCAGCATGCTCCACGGGTTTCGAAATCATCATCCAAAAACGTCCCCCTTCCTCAACTCCGACCTCCCAACTAACAATCATCGTAACAAAATCCCTCGGCGTCGTCGGCTTCGGAAACTGCGCCGAAACATGAAAAACAGTTACATGGGCCAACACCTTCCCCCCACTCTCATCCTTTACCTCAATAGTCTCGACCTGCTTCTCGGCCCCGATGCCGCGGACCGACTGGTCGGGCGTCTGGCCGTGCTTCATGCGCTCGCGGTTCGCCTTCAGCGTCTCGGCCATCTCGCTCGACAGCTTCGCCTGCCATGTGGAGAATGGGAGGCCCTCGTGGACGCTGCGACGACCGAACCAGTGGCCTTTGCCGTCGTTGCCGGGGAGTTTGTGGATGTGGAGGTCGAGGGGGTTGTCTCTTGTGCTGGAGACCTTGATGGGTTTGCTCCATTGTTGTTGGAGGGATTGGAGGGTTGGGTCTGAGGTGTTGAGTCTGGCGGGGGAGGGTTTGACGTTGTGGATGGGAGTGGCGGTGGTTGATGGAGGAGGTTCTGGGACGGAGTTGACGACGAGGTGGGCTTTGGTGGAGAGGTCGTTGATGTAGGCGCGAAGGGCGGAGGGGTCGGTGGGCACGTCGTCCCAGGTTATTGGGGCGAGGCATTCGAGGGCTTCTTGGAGGGCGGCCATTTGGTTTCTTTGGGGAGGTTGATCACCGGTGGAGTTTTGGATGTACGTATTCAAGTTGTACTGTCGGGTCGACAGACAGGTGGGCTGTCGATCGAGGGTTGATGCAAGTTGTGAGGCTGATTGTCACCAACAGTAGTCCGTAATTAATCAATTCAAAATCACAATTCGTTCAATGGATATACAAAGACGTAAATACAAGTGAACAGCAAAACTCATGCAGCCTGTTCCAGAAAGTCGCCGTGATGTCCGGCAACAGAAGACAAGGCGGGTTCCCCAGACCGTGACGTCATTGGTGATCGGCAGACCACGAAAAAGCCAGGTCCAGAATGACTATCATGACGACTATTATACTGTTCGCTATTATAATTATGATCATACGACGAGTACTAATACTAGGATGGTTCATTTGTACCATACTATATCTACCAGCAAAGAGACCATACACTTCCGCTAGTCCTGCAATTTTTCAAATTATGTTATCCAGACTAGTTACATCATGCTCAAAGGATCAATGCGTACGACAATAACGACAGTCAGGGACAAAAGAACAGAACGAGGAACCGGCCTCAACAAGTGCAAGACTATACCAGCATCCGATTCTCGCCCCGCACCTCTCACTCAATGAGAGGGGTTGGAACGAGCTTATCCAGGTACTCAGAACCCAGCCTGGAAGATAGGAGATGACCCTATAGACAAACACAGTCCACATCGCGCAAACAGACCAAGGGAGATTGGCTCACTCGCAGGACTGAGTCCCATCAAGGTCACAGACCCGACGGTCCTCAGCTAACACCGGGCGCCTGTCACGGACAGCCTTCCCGGGCCAGCGAGTAATCCAACTTCCGTTGTTCTATCGACGCCGACGTGGTCTGTGTTGCCAGAAAAACTGCGAACGAAACGATAACGTAACTCGCAGCGCCGCAATCAATACCTCTTCAATCTGACCTAGCAGATGACCAGTCTGGCAGCCTGTACCAGAAAGAGGGTGTCCAGGACAGAGAACGAGGCGTCTAGGCCCAGCCATAGCACCATCGATCAAGCTATCCTGGACGGATGCGGCGACGAAAGAAAACAGAGCGAGCGTTTCTCATCCAAATCATATCCCAAGCCGCGAGGCTAACCAGGTCTTTCATGACATATAAAACGGGATCTGAACAATGGGATATTCTCATGAAACAAACAAAACAGATAGCCGACCCGCCGCTTCTTCATGCAAGAAAACAAAACCGAAAGAATCAAGGAGAGACGGAACGCTAACGCTGGCTCGAAGAAAAAGAAGAAAAAACAAACAAACACAAGGTAGTCACAATTGCAAAGAGAGAAGATATTATGTTCTTTGATGGTCATGCAAACGAAGTGGAGTATCATGGTCGCAGAATCGTCAATGGTAACGCCGTCACTGATGCCAATTAGTCTGTTGTCTGTATAGCGGGTATAGTGCTCCCGGTCGTTCTGGTAGGTGTATCTCGGACTCGAAGGGTACAAACGAGCTAGATGTGGCTTGTAGACAGGGACTCTGGGATCTAAACCAAAAATACGCGAAGTCAGGGAGACCATCAACGTCAAGTGTATGGTTCCATGGGCGTATTACATGGTTGTCCCGTACGGCAGCGCAAAGTCTTGGTATCGATCCCCCACCCAAACCCGAGCATATTCGCCGCTGTGCTGCAGGGCTGTACCAGCATGCTTGGCAATGGGAGCGCGGCAAGTGCAGCGGACGTAGCAGCGGTGCTATAATACTGCGTCGCATTGTAAGGAGCAGTGGTGTACGGTTGGCTGTAGGACGGTGTCGGAGAAGCATACGAGAACTCATTCATGTTGTTCAGGCTGGTCCATATATTCGGATTAGAATCTCCTGTACTGGCCGTGGCTGGGCTGGATGGCAGTACTTTCCACGTATCCATCGACACAGGTTGCTGCATAGGGTCGTGCCACCATGTCTCTGGCCCGGTGGAACTGGGGAGAACAGGTGTCGAACGAAGCACGTCGACCACGGGTGGAGGGGGAGGAAGCAACGGAACGAACAGGCTGGTGATCGCGGACTTTGCTTCCTCACTCCGGCCCCCAAGCAGCTCACCTGCACCGTCCTCCTCCAATCCTTCCAGTGCCTGCGCGCTGGTGCGATAGACGAACTTGTTGGCAGCCTGGACAAACTCCTCCTGTAATTTCTTCAACTGGCTCTCCTTCTCAGACCAGTCCCAGGTACTTGCGGCTGTGTCAACGGAGTAAATCTCCTTGTGAAAGTCGACCAAAGCTTCGATTGTTTCCGGAGTCAGTTTGAATGCGACCTCGTTTCGAGATACCATGTCAACATGCACCACATATGCCTCGACATGGATCATCTGGTAGTTGAAGAACGCCTCCACCCATGGGTTCTCGTCCCTTCGGAGCTCTGCTTCGGGGGCCTTGGGGAACATCATGGAGCACAGGGTCCAGATAGCGTTTGGCGAGGACAAGGTTTCCGTTAGACACTTCGTATGTTGCGTCACATTGTTTAAAGGTCGCTTGACTCGGCTGACTCGTTTCAATGTCGCTGTCAGCCATGGCTCGATTTTGGTGTTCAACACCACATTCGGTGAAGACCGCGGCGCAAAGGCAGCGGCCGATGACGGTAGCAGGACCGTCGGCATTGCGACTCTGCGATGATGATACTATATTGAAAAAAATGAAATAACAAGAGACTGGCAGAGCTATAATAAAGAAATGAAAAAAGAAGGCACAACGTTCATAAAGGCGACATCCGCCCACAGTAAGTGGTTCTCTGATATAGTAGATGACTCCAGCGGTAAGGTGGGATCCCTAGTTGAGAGCGGTCTCTAGTGTCTTGACGGACGAAAAATTGGACTAGCGCCTGACCGGGTAGATGGAGACCGTCTGTCAAGATATATAGTAAGGAAACCCACAGTACTGGTCACAGTGGAGTGGGATGGGAAGATATGGGAAGTAGAGAGGTCCAAATTACTGTGTGGGCGAACGCGCAGAAGGGAAGAGAAAATGACAAAAGTAAAGAATGTAAATGAAAGAAAGTTTTTTGTAGAGCGGTAACGAGAATGGAGGGGAAGAAGAGGCGAGACGCAGAGGTCGAGAAAAGAGAGCGTAAGAGAGAGAGAGAGAGAGGGCGCGAAGAGAGAAGCGTCGAGGAGGGGCGGGAGAGGGCTGACCCGAATGGGAAAGAGAAGAGGGTGACCGTCAGTGATTCTGAACACAAGAGAGATCAGAAAAAAAAATATATTATAGGGTGTATTAATGGAGTTGCTTTTCAAATTTATTATACAGGGTCTCACTAAGGGCAAAGAAAAATGGTACGAAAATAAAAGGAATTTAAGAAGAATAGAGTAACCCTGTCTATCATTTAAAAAAAAGAAAAAGAAAAAAAACAAGAAGAATAATCATGAATCACCACTAATCTGTTGATATACTTTCTACAGAAATGCAAGAGCCTTTTTTTTCTCGTTTCAGTCTACGGAGTATCCGTACTCTACGACTTGCTTACCTGGTCTGAGCGTATAGATACTATGATGCCCGGCGACTTTTCTCATGCAGACATGAAAACCCGATCGTATGGAACGAGTCCATACATACACACAGAAGCACAAAATTTAGCCACTCTCCGGATTCACCGTCCGATCTCAGCTGGTACCCTCCTTCGCGCTGGAGTTTAGGGCGTTAGCAGCATGCATGTGTCCAGAATCGTCGCAAAAAGTGGAGCCTGGCAGTTGAGAGTTGATGGATGGATTGACCCAGAAACATGTCAGTCCCAGTTATTTTACGCAGTACAGCAGGTAATCTATCAGTACAATACATACTTCCAGCACGCGCAACGACAACCTATCCAGCCAGAAGACCCTTTTCAGGGCCTTGATCCGAAGCGCCAAAAGACACAGTGTGGCTGAGGCGGACCTGATTTGGGAAGTTTCGAATGGTTCCCACGTCCGTCAGACGATTGGAACTCGCATCTAGTTTCCACCCAACTCTTGGCTGGAAAGTCTGTTCTTTTAGTTTGTGATTAGTTTCGATTCAGTGCTATTATATTGTATTTATTTTCAGTCCAGTATACATTGTCAAGTGTGTCAAAGATCAAGTGGATGAGTCCAATAGAAGTGTCAATGTGTGTGACTGTACAATACTCAATGTATGTATGCATGTATGCATGGATGTATGATTTGAATTCTATCAAGAGAGGAAATATGTCCGGATGTGGCCTGCTTCCCAACGCCGGAAACGTCACACAGATACGACAGCCGACATGCTCTAGGATTGAATTTGAAAGACATTGTAGAGACTACTGTTGTAACCTTTGGGCGCCAAATAAGCCATCCAGATTTGGGCTGTCGCTACCACCCTCTTGGTAGAAGTTGCAGATTGTACCGAAGTCGGGTATGGTGCAATGTATGAATTCATGTATGCTGTAGGTATCCTGTACATACATACCGACAGATGTACTCCGTCCATACGAGGTAAGGACTGAATGTGGTAAGGAAAACATACCAATCGCAGGAGGGTTGGCTAAGCCCCAATGCAGACCCACTTTTTGGGTGAAATGCATCTTTGTTCAGATCTGACTAAGGATGTCCTATGTAACGGTCACCAAACATCAGATATCATATTCCAGGGAGTCGATGGTTCTGGTCGTCCAGCGTTAAAGTGACTAGGAGGAAAATACAAACAACCCTCATATAAAACCATCTTAACTCTACCTGTTTCAGCTGTCCCTTTGAACATTCCGCTGAAAGAAACTCGGCATTTCCCACCGAGGACCACCCCACTTCCATCTTGGTGTGTGAAGATCATCCGATACTCGTTTTGGTGAACAGTCTCCGCCACCGGTGGATACAAGTTAGTCGCTTATGCTCAGCTGGGATGTGCATTTCCAAGTATAGCCCTTCTGCTGAAATTCAAACTTAATAGTACATCCGAAGGCAAGCGTTGTGAATGACGCAAAGCCTTGAGAGTCATACAGACGATAAGCGAACGAAATAATAAAAATTTAGGAAAAATAAAAAAGTAAAAAATAAAAAAAAAAAAGTAAAAAGGTACAGATGATAAATTCAATGATTAAGATGTGTAGAAACAAAAGGGGGGGGGGAAACAAAGAAAAAGAAAAGAAAACAAGTACCTCTGGCCAGAATAATACTCTTAAAAGAATTGAAGGGAAAGGGAAGCGGAGAAATTCGCCGAAAAGTCTATCTGCCACTTGTTACAGCCGTGCATTAGGGTTTGTTTCTTACCCTCACGCAAAAGTCCGCCTTTCATACGGTATATAAAACTCGCTTCAATGAAGCAAGAAAGCAGGGAGAAGGAAATAGAAAATAAACAACAAAAGAGATGTTTCTTCAACCTGCTGCAACAAAAACAGGATGACGTCGTCTCCGGACCAAAAGGGCCCGAAGAAAGACTCCACAGAGCTTTGACCAGTCCGCACAACAACTGCCCAAAGGCCTAATCCGTACCATACACAAAGTACATGTGTAGAATCGCATATGGTACATACCTGCACCTGTCCTTCTGTGAGCATGGTACAGAGAGTATCTTACCTTGCAGACTGCATGGATGCTCGCCAGGAGTCTACTTTGCCTACTGCAACTCGACCATGGGAGACTTGTGTATCATCCGTGGTTCTAGGCGAATCCAAACCCATGCCCCTCAACCTAATTCCCAAACAATCATGAATGAAATGACCTCTCCATCTGTACTACAAAGCGGGATGAGCCCTGCCATATCCAGTAGCTTAAAACAGCCCTTTGACCATCGTCTCTCTTTCTTTGTCCCTCCCATTTTCCCCGTCTTCCGCCATGTCTCGTTCCACATTTGACGGTCAATGAGGAAAGGAAAGGTAAAATGCATAAAGGGGAAATTTATAATAGACTGTGAAAATAAAAACAAAATTCCCAGTATCTCACCTGATGAATCGCGGGTCGAGTCCTCGTGGGGCGAGCTAAAGGGCCTAACAAATCTTCGGAAGCTGGAAGGGTGCCTCTTCAGGCCTCAGATTCGCTGATGGCGACAGAGTCCGGCTCACTGCGCTGCACCTGAGATCCCTGTTACGATCTACCATTGGACTGAGCTTCGTTCACGGTTGTATCTAGACTTTACTAGATGTGGAAGTCATTCGAACTACCGTCTGCACTCGTAAGATGCCATTCCGTTACAAGCACGGGAGAAAAAGGAGGGTTGTCCGGTTGCACTTCCGTCAGTTCTCTTTTCTTCTCTTTTATTTTCCGATCTGCACCCATGCTTTACTCGCGTTTTTCCCTGGGTCAGTGCTGCACCACATACCTACTCCGTATTAAGTAGGGCTCGTCCGGTTAGTTCGTCCTCCTGCAGTGAGCGGAGCTGTAAGGCCCGGGTTGGTAAGTAAGTAGGTATCCTGGATGCCGGGCACTGCTCCTTTCAGTCAATAGACCCCATGATCTGCTGCACGCGGACGCGGAAACGTCTGGGGGTAGGTAGGATTCGGCGACACCAAGTTAGGCTGAAAAGGGTTGAGAGCAAAAATTTTTGATATCTGCCATCAAATAGAACCCACTAGCCTGTCGCACAGTTCCCCACAGACGACTCAACAGGACAGGCAGAAACATTGCACTTGAAAGGCGATGGGTTGAGGTCAGGTAATGACATGCTGCTACGGTATCAGCACGCGCCCAGCAACGGGTTCAACGCACGGAGAGCACTCACAAGCTGTGGCGAAAAATTGACAGATGATGCCAGAACGTTTCGCATTCTCGGTTGGAATCGGCATCCGACAGGAGCAGCCTAGGAAGTAAATAACTCTTGTGCAGCAAGGCAACCAGCGTCGTCAGCTTGGACCACGCTTTTGCGACACACTGCAACTAAATTTGACCGTTATTTGTCGCCCTTCCATAGCAAAGTAAGGCGTAGCGCCTATAAAGTTGCTTGACTATGACTCGGGAGAATTAACCCCCTATGAGAAAGAGTGTCACCTCCGTAAGTGCGTACGAGCACCGCATATGACCTCGTAGCGACTAAAGATATCCCTTTTTCGGAGATGACCGACTACTGCGCCTCTGTCACGTTGCCACATCAGCCACGCCGGTATTGTGGCGGGGTTTCTGCAGTACAACCATGACATAAGTTGTTAAGCATAGATGGACATGGACGAAAGAAAAATTAGAGAGAAGTACGTTAGAGAATTTGGCAGAATTAATGCGGGATGAAGAATTCCAGTATTGTACCTGTGGGCATGTATTAGTTAATTTTCTCCAACCCTAAAACGTGAGGAATATATACTGAGTACTGAGTACTCCATACGGTATTACGGAGTAAACCTCAACCTGAACAGCCTTGATACTTCCTGTAATTGACAAAAGCAAAAACTCACACACGTGATAGGCTTAAGAGACCCCTGAAATCTTGATACACTCACCAATCATCAAATGTATAGTGGCATATCATGCAGCCCCTCGATCGCTTAGAAGTACTTCCTTGGCCGCATAAATTCAATTGATTCTGGAGCCACCACCATCTCAACCTATACTCATTGCAAGACTTGAGCATACGCCACTTATCTCTGGACTTAGCTGGATTAGCCCGCGCAGATCACCACTCGCAGATCGACATGTATCACTGCGAGATGCCTAGAGCTGATAAAAGGTCCTCAACTGAGCTCACAACGCCTTGGTTGTCCCTTCCAGCTAGCAATTAAACTTCCACGTGACGCTTTCGGCGCATTTCTCAAAGACTGTGGTATCAGTATGGCGACGCAGTTCGTTACGCTGCATAATGGTGTCATTGCGATGAAGCTAAGCTCTCGCTTCCACAGGGACCATCGAGTCACGACACGCGAACTTTACAACAGGCTCAGCTGTCACTAATTTGTGGACAGACTGATGAGAGGTAGCCTGTTGCTCGAGCCGTTATTCTGACCAATGTCATGCGCTCAAACGAGCACAGTCTATGGACGAAGACAGAGCTTCTCTGACTGCCACCCTGAAGGATTGCTAGTGGTATGGAATGACATGCAGCCGATGCGGCCACAGGAGTCCAATCGCCAGCTTGAGTCTGTGGTCATGGGAACTCGTTCAGTACCTCCATGACGGGGTGATTGTGTTCGCTTTCGAGAACACTCCATGGTGATGTTCGTTTCGCGATTGGCGACGATTCGTGGACTGGAATAATACACGGGCCTCCTTCGGTATGGCATCGTCGATTGGATTCTAGTGAAGATTCATCATGATTCGATTGATATCGACAAGGGTGAAAGTCTAGTTGTAGAAGATGGCTGACATCATCATCTGGCTAAGGATATTAGAGGTTCAGCCATCTCTGGGACAGATTACTCTTGCCATCCTGGAGGCGTGGTTTTCCGTTATAGAGCCTGGATTGGTCCGAGTACGAGAAGCAGCGGCTCATAGTATAAAATTTATACGGGTTTGAATGGACATTTACGGCTGATACGTTGTCGCTGGCTGATACTGTCCGTGATACAAGTCTCTATACCCATAGATGATAACTCTTCGGAAGTATACTAATTTTGCAAATTCATCTAGTTCGCCGTGAATATATATCCTTCGTATATTGCTACGCTAATGAAACTTTTCTATGAATTGAATAATGCTTGCCACGTACGGTTTCGAAGCTGATGTTTTTGAATCCTGGATAAAGAAACCAACTTTTACTTTCAGGTCATATGTATGGAAAGTAGACATTACTGTCCCTTCCCTGGTGTGATTCGCAAGGCTCTCCAACCACTTTATCAGTTTCCTTCATCTCTAGTATGCGATACAGAAATTGGACCTATGATACCAGGTATCGTGAGGTTAATCCTTCCCCTGTGGAACTAGTAGCCATACAACAATCAAGGCGACTAGTAGCGCGAGAACTAAAGGCTGCAGGTTCTGTACGCCGCGGACTCCAGTGATAGCACCAGCAACGAATGGAAGTCTATACACGGATCAATGGGTAGCGAATGGTCACAGATCTTCTACTTGTGCAATTACTGGATGAAGAGAGTCAACATACTGCGGCATCACAGCCAGCCAATACCAACACGAGACATGTCATGGATAGTATGTCAATGCTTCGGGAGCAATTTGATAGCCACTACAATTGCCCATGAAAAGAGAGGACCAGTAAAGAAGCCAAACAAGGGAACTGCATTTGTAGACGCGATAAATATCGCTACCAGCCCAAATATGAGCTCAAGGGCAATTAAAATGGCGAGATGAACTGAATAGTGATGTGCTCTACTTAAGTCACAGTTCGCACTTGCCTATGCAACCTTTAGGACTGGTATGACAAATTTATCCAATCATTCACAAAGCCAAGGACAAACTTCCTGAGCGTAACTCCAGCCCAAAAGCCAGTGGGAATCAGACCAGACTCGTATGTGTCTCCGTGATGAACATGAACCATAGACTCGACGATTTACCCACGCACACTGCCAATATGTTCGTCCAACGTTGCCGGAGATTAAGCTTGGAGGAGGGGGTCACTTTGTACGCCCATGTAGATAAGGAGCCAAATGAACTTCATCTAGATACTGGAGCTCTTCATAGCCTCTACAGACATATCTCACCCACCATTGTTAGGGCCGCTGGCGTTGTTGATACGGAAGCTGGCCGCATCTTCTTTCCAGAACATGGGCACCACAACCATGTAGATGACCAGCATGACGGGGGTACAGAGGGTGAGTCGCCATATCGGTGAATGGAACGATATGGCAGAGGGACCTATCATCACAATACATCTCTGGCTAAAGGTCATGTGGACCCTGCCCACAAGGTTAGTCGCAACCAGGTATCCGATCAAGAGTGTCACAAAAATCAAAGAAACAACTGTAGTTGATAGGTCGAACTGCTCACAGTGCTATTGGATGCCAGTGTGCTTGACTATGGAGGAATAGACTCAGTGCATACATATGGGATTAATACCTGCCAAACTGGGAACTTTCTGTTCAGCAATCCTTGACACCAAAATTCAGTCTATAGGCCTCGTTACTGGTGCCTACCACGGCACAATTGATAAAGGTAGCGAATAGGCGCCATTGTTGATAGAAGTGTTATTTCACTTTTGCTTTGCTCGACCGGCCGTAGTATCTGATCCAGGGTCAAATGAGCTCGGTAACATTTGACGTTCTTGCTGTCCTTAAGAAGAAGCAAAGCTTAACAGTGGTCATTGTCGTGAGCATCTTGCGATGCTACAAGAAGGTGAAGAGAATGAGCAAATGAGCAGAACAGCCGGGGACAGCATTGATCATAGTATAGGATACATATCATAGATAGCCGACTTCAGCCTGACAAATTTCTAGCATACCATTTGAAATTCGTAAACGTCACTACACAGAACAAAGCAAAGGATCCGGAGCTAGGCGACCCACCCCTCTCGGGCACTCGATTGCATTCTCCATGTCAAGCACGCATTTCTACTTACTAGTCTATGCCTGTGACTGTCAATTTTTCGTAGCATATGGCAGATCACCAATTACCAGAGAATACGGGACTGTGAGAGATACGGAGAACTTCTTGAACTGTACTCATGTTATTGAGGACGATGCACGACTAGTACGCCAGGTCTTACGCTGGGATATCTGCACCAATGTCTACGACGTTTTCAGTGTCGACGTTGGTAGGCCGCTTTCGGGTGCAGATATTCCCCATGTGCGATGGTTAGCACCGCTTTGGATGGCCTTCGTGCTGAATAGGGCAACGAATTCCACCAAAATGCTTATGTCGGGAACTATCCGCGCAAAGGTGTTGGCATACAATGTCATTTTTACCTCTATTCGCCTGCTCTGTGTGGGCCAGATAAAGCTATGCTAAACCTCGAGCTCCTGGTGTGGCTTTGGAATTGGAGGAAATAGCAAATTCCGCGGTGCTTTTGCGCCCTCTCTATCACTCGCGCGGTGGTTGCATACATCAACGACTTGCCCACATATTTCGATATTATGATCGCATTTGCAGTGGTCTTTCTGCTCAAAGTATCCACCCGCTTCTCTACCACCGCACATCTTGATAACCAAGGAGCTCAACGCTTATTGCTCTCTTTAGTCACGTTGTTGGCGGAAGTGATAGCGATAATCACAAGCTGTATCCATGGATCCACTGCAGCAGGAGTCAGAGCAGATTATATATACCCGCAATATGCGGCATGTATACTTTGGTCGCGAGACCAATGGGATATTTGGCCAGTATTTCATCAGTGAGTTCACCTTTTTTATCAGGGTAAGATCGGAGGTCTTCAATATGAGTGTCTCCGAGAGATGAGAATAGCAAATCGTACCTCAGAGCCTTATTTCCAATTATGAGATTCGACAACAATTATGCCATGAAAGCCTGGTACCACTAGCGAAGGGATTTCGGGGCTTCAAGGCATCAAGGAAGAGGGAACAGGAGTGGAAGAGAGAGAGAGAGAGAAACATACAGAGAAGCTATAAAGCGAGAAATGCTCGGATTCCTTTTTTCCTATCATCCGTTGATGGTAAACCTTTTCGAGGAGAGATAAAAAGAACCCTAACGTCAGATCCCTGCTCATAGACTCAACATTGAAACGGCCACCGCCCCATCATATGCATAAACAGATGCAAGGCCTCATGAATTTTCTTCTTCGAACTTTGCTCGTCTCCAAGCCAACTTAACTTTATACTTTCTTCCTTGCAGAAATCAACCTGGCATCCTGGACGATAAGAGCTTGCACACCCTCAGCCACATCCATGTCATTCCGCTTTTTGACAATCATTCGGCAGCTAGAGCGTGTGTTCACAGTTCAACAATTTGACCCTGTCAGGTGCGGCATCGACAGCGATGAATCCAGCACGTTGTTGGATAGAAGCCAGTGGTGTGGCATTTATGGAGCCTCTGAATAATGCCAACGGTGTACGATGGTTCGGTATGACTGTTGCTGGCATATGGGCCGTCACTATGTCGTTTCCAATCCTGGTGCTCGGATTACGGGCCAAGGAGGTGAGATCAGAAGAGGTCAAAAGACCTTGAGGTTATAGCACGTAACAAAACGTACCTTAAGAAGTTACACTTCAATCAGATAATTGAATGAACAGCTAGTAAATTTGAAGAGATGATGGATAACAGCCAAAAGCCGTCATAAAGATACATTTCCTTAGGGTTGAGAAGAGTCACGTGTCAATAAAAACATACAATGTTTGAGTCTCGCCTCGTACCAATGAATTGGTTTCTGCCAATATATATAATTTGTTAGTGAATGATCACCTTGGAGCATGGCTCTACATGTGACAATTGAATGTTTGCAGATAGCGTCACGCCGTTACAACAACTGCGTAACGAGCCACCAGGATAGGATATTGAACTTAGGAAGAGAAAAAAGGCAAGAAGAAAATTTTGCGACTAGCATCTATCGGCATTAACATATGCCCCTGTTTGAATCAAGCGTACCAGAAAGATTCAGGACTACAGAGTACAGGGTATACATGGGTAAAAGTCGGTTGTACTTCGGGGTGTTAAAGAGTTTTTTTTGTACTATTTTCTGCACGTTGATTATATTGTCCCAACGATAACCAAACTCTGCACTAGCCAGGTACTCCGTAGTCTATTGAGGATCTAGAAAAGTCTTATACTTGGGATCAGCATGGCTCCAACATTGGGAATGGAATAGGAACGACAACAATGTTTGTTGATAGGAGAGCACCAGGAAAAAGAGAAAAACGAGTGGATCTAGCTAGCAAATTCTTAACATTTAGAGTAGGCAAGCTAGTTAGCATCGTTGTTTTGCTATCTTAACCTAGCAGCAACGGACCAAAAATTTGGCGCTCGTGTCCACTACCATCGGGTATCCTCCTGGATTTGGTTGGGCTTATATTGACTAGAATTCATGGTAGGGTATGTCATACGATATCCTTAAGAAAAACTATATAGTCACAGAAAGGATACAGGGGGGTCTTTTGAGATGCATGATGCATCTAATGTCCGTGATGTAACCTTCTTATCTGGTCAGTGTGGACATTGCAATTATATTGCGTAGATATGGAGACATGGTCCTCCGTGTGGACTAGAAATTTTCGCAGGTGCAGAAATCCTTATTAAATAGAAAGGCCTAGTCTTCCGTAGTCAGCGTACGTAGATGAATCGAATATGGGAAGGGATCTTCTCTCGGATAAGGGGCGGCGGCGAAAACTTTTTGCTGTCTTTTCTGCCGAAGGATAAGCAACTGACTAATATCAATTAGTCGTCGTTTAGTAAACTAGTTAACCGAAGTTATGGTTGTCAGGTTGAGTTGAGAAATGGGGCTAGGGAGCTTCAGCCTCATCCTCGGACCTCAAGTTGTGCTTGGTCTGATATTTGAAGCGTAAACATGCGAACGGGCGCCAAAGAGGACCTCTTAAGGCAGAAGCAGGCCGAAGCTTTCCCGTGGCATTGTTGTACCTTGTTGATATTAATTACGGTGGCGTACTCGAATATCTAGATCCAAGGCTAGTAGAGACGGAAGGAAACCTTAGGCTGCACCCCTGTCAAGTGACTTGAACAAAAAATAGTAACGAGAACCAGAAAGTTGGAAGGAACCTTCTGTTTCCCCTCCACTTTCTCAGGTACATACTACCGAGGGTTCCGGTTCGTTCCCCGCTTCAATGTCTCGGAGATCTATCCTTGGACTTTGGTTACCTGTGCGGATCACAATTTATCCAATGTCGAGAATGACATAATCTGTCATTTGATGCCCAAAAGACGGTTGAAGCAGTTGTGACCTGTGCTGCTAGGAAGCCAAGAAAACGCCTTGATCCTTGGAGAGATCCAGTGGCACACGCGTGATCTCCAGCAATTTACGTGAATGGATCGTATTGGGGCAAAGTGAAGCTTGGACAAGACACTTTCCTCTAGTTGGTAAGCAGTGCGATAAGTCCTAACTTTCTTGACGGGCACTACCGTATGCAGGCCAAGACCAACCTCGACATGCATGTACATACCACAAATGATCGCATTGTTGGATACGCTTTTCGAGAATTCTGAAAAGCTAGATGTGCTGGGCGCAAAATGGAAAGAGACAAAAAGACCGAATAAAAAAAAAAATTTTCGATGTTCACCTTTCATTATCGGAGCCGTGGATCCCTTCGCGTACGTTAGTGGAGCATGAATATACGGGGATGGAGAAAAGGATCCCAACTAGAGAATGGCTCGGTCGAGTTCGAAGACCCCTGCCCAAGCGAAAAACAAGACTTTTTGGTGGACGAGAAAAAAGGAACCAAGAGGCAAACCCCGCGTAATGGCCACTGTCGATCACCAAGCTAAAATAAATTAACCCCAACAAGGAAGCCCACAGAGGCGCAACTTCTTCCAACTGCTCGTGCGCTTATTGACTCACAATGCAAGCTAACTTCACATGCTACCGAGCTCAATCTCCGAGCAAAGAAAGCCGCACCTCCCGTGCATGATTTTCTCGTCCTCGAGTCCTGCGTCCTACCGCAGTCGGTTGAGTTCAGATACCAGACCTACTTCCCCATGCCAAGTGAACAATTGTGGGTGAACAGCAACCCCCACAATTGGGAACGTTATCTTCCCGAGCATTTCCTCTCAGGGGCATTGCTCCGTTCCCCGCAAGAAGAGCGCCTGAAAATCCTCTTTCGAAGTAGTTAGTATAGCAAATAACCCCAACCAAGGAAGTACGTATGAGCTAACTTAGCTAATACACGGTAGTAATAATTACGGGCCGTGTGGGTTGCCCACAATTCACCGCTGCTCGGCGTACTCGAGGAGGGTCTGCCCGGGCCCGTACCTCAATGGCATGCACTCTACTAGTCAGGGACTAACTGCTATCACGGCTCCGTGCACCCAATCAGGGAACTTCGTTTCTTCGGAGACCAACAAGTCAATTGGAGTAACCCGATGATTGCCAAATTCTCGTCTGGTTCAGGAAAACAAGTGCGCTTGTCGATCGCCGAGGCAGAACCGAAAGTGAGAGGCAATATCTGGGGATGAAGAGAGATTCTCACGCAAACTCGCAATTTATCGCGCTTCTCATTTGCTCCCCGCAAGGCCGATTGTCCCTCTCACGCACCCGGGGGATCCACAGCTCACTCCGACAAGCATAGCTTGCTCCAGAATCCAGATCGCGCCACCTTCTCCGCTTGTCATCAACTATACGACCCTGCAGCGGTGCTGCTAGGTCGGCAGGGGAGCAAGCGATCAGCATGTCGTATCAAGCCCACACCAAAGGGGCATCTCCCCCGCAGATCGGGCCCAAAATATTCTGCCACTGACATCAATGCTGGAGAGAACCAATGCAACGCAGTTTGCTTCACATGTGGGGATCGTTGACTAGCCCTCGGTCTACTCCAGTAGTCCCCAGTAGCTCTATGGGCAGAATGGAGTAGATTCCCGCACACCTGCAGACATAAAAGGGGTCATGCAGCCTCCTTGGTTCTGGAATCGGGCTCTCAAGTCGTCAATTGCTGGCCATCCCCTGTGGAGAGCATACTCCCAGCATGCGTTTCTCAACAGTAGTTTCCGCCCTTTTGCTTTCCAGCACCTCGCTGGCAACACCAGCCCAACCCTCTTCAGCACTGGGCAATGCCTCAGCACAGGGGGCTCCTGAGGAACATCCCATAGCTCAGACACCGGCTGCTGCGGAACCGACTGCTGCGGAGGCGAATGCTGCTGCTGCTACTGCTGCTGCTGTTACTGCTGCTGCTCAACCAAATGGTAATGCTAGTCAACAACCGAACGTCAATGTCAACCAGCAGCCAACTGCTGAGCCCAGCCAGCACCAAAGTGCCAACGACGAGCAGCAGCAGCAGCCGACTGCCAACGTCGCTCCACAATCGAACGCCGCCCCAGAGCCGTCTCCTAGTCCCAATGCCAATCAACAAACAGATGGCGGCCTGCTGTCACACCTAATCCCCACCGGCGTTGCGGATTCTTCTACCCAGCAGGAATCTAATGCTCCTGCTCCAACTGCCTCACCAGCGGAGCCTCAGGGTAGTCCGTCGCCTACCGAACAGCCGAAAACTCAGGGGTCCGCTTCCAAAACTGCTGCTTCCTCTTCAACGTCGTCCACAAGTAATCCGTGGGAGAATCTCACCCCTGATGGAGTGACTGGCAACCCTTTGACGGACATTGGTAATGGGTTCCAGGGTCTCCTTGGTCTCCTGTCTCCAACGTTCCTTAAGGATGTCGAGTCATTTTTCCACCACTTTGCCTATCTATTTGACGACCAGACTACGGAACAGACCAAGTCTCTCATTAATATTGGATCCGGCCTTCTAACTCAAGACTTGATCAAGCAGTTGAATAGCCTGTTGAGCAACGCCGGCAAACTGTTGACATCTGACTTTGTTGATGAGATCCAGAAATTGATCAAACAACTTGGCCCTCTCCTTACGGATGACCTGTTCAAGCAGATTGCCACATTGTTGAACAACGGAAACGACCTTCTGACCGCTGACTTTGTCAAGGAGGTCAATGCTTTGATCGGAAACGCCAACCAACTACTGACAGCTGAAACCGTCAAGGAGCTGCGGCAACTTATCGATTCCCTTGGTCCTCTCTTGACTCCTGAACTCTTCAAGGAAATCAGCGGCCTCCTTAATAATGCCAATGATCTGTTGACGGCGGACTTCGTTAAGGAGGTCAAGGGTTTGATCTCTGCAGTGGGTCCTCTCTTGACTCCTGAGCTCTTCAAGGAGATCAGCGGCC